GAAAGGCTACTTGCACTGAGCACAATGTTTATTTTAGTGCTGAATATAATTCAATTGCTTGGTATTTGTTTGACTGAAACGGAGATTCTGATCCATGCAAACTTTCCTAATCATGTGATTAGACTCTCTTCAGATAACTACACAAGTTTCCTTCACATTTGTTATCCATTCAAACAATTTTGTTTCAATCAATTTGCTAATCTCTGGGGGCCGAGAGATTTGGTGCGAATCTGGCTGGCTTTCACTTTGGAGTGAACTTCCCATTGCAAACTCTTCACATTCTTGTGCTAATGCTAAAACAATTTCACATTTCCTCTCTGTTCAACACCAGTAACACTGTTGTCTAAATCTTCATTTTTATATGGGTGCTCTTTTCCTAGCAACAGTGAATATCACCACAGTTTGAGATCCATTGACTAGATTTAGGGCTATTATAATAAGCGTTGTGAATCCTGGAACTTGATTCAGTTGTGTTCCAGTATTGAGGATATGTACCAGATAGTTTCCAGAAGATCATTTTCTGAATAACTTTAGCTTAGTTGATTTAATAGATACTGTGTTAGCAAGTATTGTGCATTTCTTCTTTATATTTCCTGACTGAGGTTTGTGCCACTTAATCTGAATGCAAACATGAAAGCAGTATTCTATTGGGTGTTTGGAGAATGTTGGGAAATAAAAATTGTTATTTCAAGTTGTTCGCCCTTCTCTCTCCAACTCTCTTCCCCCATCTCCCCCCCCCCCCCTCAATATATTGTCAGGTCATAGGTGACTAAACAGTTCATTTTTTAATTTCAGAATCTGATTTTAGTAAACACAAGATGTACTATCAGAATGTTTTGTTGGCACTGTTGGTACAGAATCACTGGATGAGTTCCAGCAGCCTAATTTCTGAAGCTATTATTCGTATTGAAATACTGGGGAAATATTGGTATAAACAGAAATAGTGTTTCTAGATTCTGAATATGAATCCTTAAATTCCCTTTTATTGTCTATATAGTTACAAGAATCGTTTGTTAAATGCTTCTGGAGTAGTGCAGAGTTGTGACTGCAAAGTGGAACCAATGTGATTTGCTTTTGTGCTCATAGAAATTAGGACCCCAAAGCATTTATATAGTGCCCTTCATGCAGGGTAGCACCTGAGTGCTGCATAGTGGCAGGGTTGGACACTGAGTAAAGGGGGAGATGATCATTGGCATGGAGAATGAGATGGGTCTTAAGATGGGATGTAAAGTTACACGAGGAGGCTATGAGGCGGAGGGATTGAACCAGCTAAAGCCAGTACAACGCACCAATGTGCTTTCAATTGCTTTTTCATCTTGGACCACCTTACCCATTCAGGCTTTTCTCTTTCGGTTTGCCCAGTTATTGCGAGCCAAGTGGAAAGGATTGGTGAAATGTCTCCTTTCAATTCCTATTCATGAGCCAGGCATCAATTGTGCCCTGGAGTGCTGTGAACTTTCCTACTGCAGAAATTAGAATGAAATAAAAGATTTTAAGGCATTACAGTGATTGATGGATTCTCTGCTGATGATATGATGGAATATGCTTTAGCCAAAGGCAAGAATTCATTTTCATGTGGACTTACTAATTGTAACGCCACTGTGTGGGAGGAGTTAGGCCAGGTGCTTGCTCTGAGCAAGGGAAGATCAGTGGGCAAATCATCCCAATACATGTTCTTGCTTCTCCAAGTAACTGGCTGAGGAGTGCCATTGGTGGAGCTGTTTGAGACGTATGCCCATCCTGTCACCTGGATGAATAATCTGGTGTGAAGTAATGCAATGTAAAATGAAGAGGAAGGGGATGGAATTGCATTCTATGCTTGGTACAAAATGAACTACTGTATATAATGAGATGTAGATTTTTAGATCTTTTAGAAAATGTAATATCCAGCTTGTCGTTTTTTGTTACACATTTTGGTTTTTCAACAGATCTGGCTAATTTGGGGTTATTACCCTTCCAATTTTCTGCTGTGTTTTTAAGGCATTGTGATTTTAAAGAAAACAGTTTCTACATTTATCTACAACTGTTAGTGTGGGGAATAGGTTAATTTAAACTTCTGCTGCGTTGGCACATTCCTGTATGCTGTGTAAGGATGAGAGTGAAAAGATTGGAAATCAAGCAGCTGTCATTTGTAATAACCTCCAAACAGCAAGGTTGCTCAGAATGATTATGGTGGGTGGGGGGGGGGGGTCTTTGGAAGTTGGTGAGCAACATATTGATGACAACAGGCATGATTGAAGTCCTGAAATTATTTGCTTGGGAGATGAATTAGGCTTTTGTTTTTTTGTTAAAAATCCTCATGTCGTGACTATACAATTTAAATGCTGAATGTGGATTACATAAAACTTCTGTTGACCTTGGAGAGAAAACAAAGTTGAATTATTTTTGACCCTCATCATATGATTGGTCAGTTATTCTATATCAATGACATACTTCTCGTTCCTTGACTGTTTGTGCGATATTGTTGTGCGCAACTTACTGGCTGCTGCATTTCTCTTAGTTTCTTCATAGCATTGCATGTTCAATTGCGACTGAATGGGTTAGAGGCTCTTCCACACCATCCCTGTCTTTATCACAATTTTAGATATGATATAGTAATAGGTTGTGAGTTAACATCAATTTTGCAACAAAGTTAATAACTTGGACAAACTGTATATCTTCTGGCAGTTGTGTAAAACTATCGAGTAAATCTGCTTTCAGTTGAAGCACTTTAGGGAAAACCTATTTGGAGTTCCAACAACTATTGCAGTGACTGTATTAAGATCCAGAACTTTCTAGGACTAGTGTGCTGTCAGGAAATGAGCTTGCGTACCAGGTTTCTAAATTTCAGCTGAGGAAGTTGCACAGTTGTTGTGAATTTGAAGATTTTTCATTTGGCAGGAGCTCAGTTCTATACATGTATAATGCTAGCTGCTGGTTCCCCATAGGCTGAAGAAAAAACAGTCCTTTTAACTAATGGTAAATATAGCAATACTTGAATAATCTTCTGTACTCTCGAGATAACATTTATATAATAATAATCCTTGCATTTGATATAGCGCTTTTCATAACTTCTAGATGTCTCAAAGCGCTTCACAGAATATACTGTAGAGTGAATTGAATGTATTTGTGGGCGAAACGCAGCAGCCAATTGCACACAACACTGTCCCACAAACAGTCGTGGATTGAAGTGACCAATTTATTATTGTTTTTTTTCTTGAGGGAGGGGTGTGTGGACTAAGGAAACTTGCCCAAGGTTTCGCCCTGCCGGGAATTGAACCCAGGTCTGTCGCTTGAGAGGCGAGTGCTTTAACCACTGAGCTACAGGACTCCACGTTTTATATAGAAGTTGCAGACGATTGCAGCTAATAAGTAATATGTGAGAAGTTGCTCTTTGTTTTTAGTAATCCCCCACCCACCTGTACTTTAAGCTTAAAGACAGAGAAATAAAATCACCTATGACCTGTGATCGCTACCCAGTGAATTTATGCTGGAAAGTATAAATGCCAGTTGTGAAAAGGATCAGGCTTGACCATGAAGTTCCCACTGATGACAGATGCTGCCACATTCACATCAAGATAGGATACTTGTTTTTGGATTTTGATGGGGAAAGAAAAGCTTAAAGTTGATTCAAAACAGAATAAAAATATATTATTTTTGATTCCACTTTTTCAGACAGATTAGTATAAATTATGCGGCAAATATTAAAACTATCAAAGATTAAAGCTAATAGAAAATACTCAAACTGCTACAGGTACACACAACTAATGACAGTTTTAATATTACTCTGAAATGTTTCCAGTTTATCCCTTTATTTTATCGTTTTTTTTCCCAATACTTTAGTAGGTTGGTTAGGTGAGCAAGCAGTTAATGGTGCCTTGCTTTGAGACCCATCTGACAAAGAAGTTAATCTCCTGTCATCAGCTGAGGGTTACACCTAAAGCAAATAGCTTGCCAACAGTCTGTAGGTTTGGACCTTCATTTATCAGTTGACTATTGCTGCTGAGAAATTCCAGACCCAGAGGCCTGCCTATTTTTGTAGAGCTGTGGGTGGAGTGGCAAGAATGTAATCAGCATCCTGGGAGGCTGTCACTTTGTTCACAAGCAAGCTGAGCCGTATATAGTCATGCAGTGTTTGATTGGATACATTCAGGCATATGACTGTCAATCTTGACTGAATGTGTCTGCAGATATCTCTTTAAGGTGAGTGCTTGTATGTGTGCTTGCTGCAGAGCGATTAATGTTGGACTACAGAGGTGTTGCAACGCCTGGGGTGTAGAAGCAAGCGAGTAGAATGTGTTTTTGTCGAGAATCTGCACTGAATTTAAATTGAGACCCAAAGTCTTGTATAATATTGAGTAGTGTAGCATTCCTTTACTCTTGTTGTGAAATGCAGTGCTGGTCTCTAGGTCTCCAGAGAGTGCAGTATAAAACAATGTGCTGGCAATTTGTGCTCTAGTAACTGAGCCTTTAAAGAGTGTTTGTACTGCTTTTATCATCCTGCCTACGTATATTTTCGTTAGCAAGAGGGTAATGGGGGCTGATTAGCTTTCTAAAGGCTTTGTTGGTTTTGTTTAATTTTGACCGCAAGCTATTTTTAACCATTAAACAGTTAGATCATTTGGAACCGTGTTTGGCTATGTTGTAGCTGTGGATTTTCCCAGATTATGCTTTAACTCTTTGGTCTTCCCTAGGGATTGAAGGAGAGTGTCTTGTTTCCTTCCAGTATAAATAAATTAGTAGTGGTGATAAAACTTTTATTCCTATCCTGACAACCTTTATTACCTGTCTACAGATATAAGAAGCGATAGACAGGGAAAAATATGAAAGAATTAACAGCTGTGTGTAGCAGCTGAATTTAGTTTTATATTTCAGAGATTTTCTTCCCTCCCCCTTCTCCCCCAGGCGGGACAGTGTTGTAATGTTCTTTTCTTTTTTTTCAGTTTATCTCTGAAGATGATACAGCAAGATGTCGGGGTGATATAGTGGTCAGAAGTCATGCCAGGTTTCAGAATGTAGGAAATAGTGAAGCAACTGACAGTGTGCCTTACATTGGAATTGTCTCTGGCAAGGACTTCAATAAAATCCACCTATAGAGGAGCAGTAACAAACGGAGCAACAACAAAAAGTGCATCCAATTTCACTAAAGCTAAACTGTAAGTAACTGAATATTTAATTCATAGGATGCCAGAGTGGAAATACAAAAAGCTTTTGTGGTAGCTGATTGATGCACAATTGTTACAAGTAACAGTGTTCAGCAATAGTGAATGTCTGGAACACCTTCTGATTAATGAATATTATTCTTTCCACTCACAATAAAAGTGTTGGGTTATGGTCACAGGAAGTTGTGTTAACTTGGGTCTGTTACCATACAGGTTTTAAAGTGTAAGTGGGGCTAGGAGGGCTGTCTCTTGCTCGTATATGCTTTCACTGCATGTACAGCCACAGCAGTGATATTTAATCTAGAAATGCATTGGGTTATAAGAAGTTATGTATTGTAGGCATGAAAGAAGGAAATTCGAGGGGGAAATGAGTTCATTATCATGGTTTCTATTTTCAATTAAATTCAGTGGTCCAAATCCTGCCTTCTGTTATTATCCACCTGAGGTTACAGGCAGTACCTGTGTGATGTGTTGCTAAACAATCAATCCTCTGACCTAAATAGAGAAAAAAATCAAATGTTGAAATATCAACATCCAGGCTGATAACAAAATGGATTTGGATGAAGTTCTTTCAGCCCAGTGATATCTTCCTTCCAGAATTGTCATGTTATTGTCTTCCCAATATAGCATCAAGCTATTTCTTCAGAGTCCAACATTCTGGCTGCAGCATCATTTCTAGTAACCCTGTTCCAGTTTTTAATTACCCTCTGTGTAAAGAAATCTTTTGCGGTGTATGTCCTGAAATTGCTATTTGCAACACTGACCTATGCCCTCTTAATAAAGTGTTAATTGACTGTTTTTTTAAAAAAAAACTAGTAGCATTCATTTAGAGGTTAAAAGGATAGATACAAACTGAGAAACAAATAATCAGTTAAAGGTTGAAAGCTGTGCTTCAGTAGTGGAGATGAATACTTGTGAAGTATCTATGCAGAATTTCCTCCAGACAGTGAGTTGGGTGAACAACAACAAAAACTTGCCTTTATATAGTCACCTTTACACATAGTGGAGAGTTTGGAACAAATAAGTAGTACATTTTGTGTAGCCTATGGAAAAACTAACTATTTTATGGTATAAAAGTATACTTGGATTGTACTAGATTGAAAATGGTCAACTTGCTACTAGTGAATCTTTTTCCCCCTATTTTTTCTAACCAGGTACACTCAATTCCCCTTATACAAGTTGCTCCACTTTATCCAAGGATCCAAAAGAGACATGAAGGTGTGATTTGCACTGGATTTTACTGTAAACAGTGACAGTTTAAAAACATTGGTATACTGTAATGTGATTTAATCTGTTTATTGGTTTTGCTTTGTTGAAAAGCAACAGGAATGGAAATGCACATATTTCAAAAATATTTTTTTGATCTATTCGACTACATTGTTAGTTTTAAAGTGGGGGACTGTATGGACCGGATAATATCGGATGTGACAAGAGAGTTGTGTTGAAAGATGCAATCCTTAAAGAAACTGTTCAAACTGCCCTCGATTTCCTTCTTCCTCCCTGAGTAAGAGGGCACTAATATAATAATAATAATCCTTGCATTTAACATGGTGCTTTTCACGTCTTCTCAAACTCTCAAAGCGCTTCACAGAATATACTGTAAAGTGAATTGACTGTATATTTGTGGGTGAAATATAATTTTTCAGGTAAAGTACAATTCAGTTAATATTTTTTGAGTTCCGTTTCCAACTGAAGAGAAAGCTTCCTTAGATTTTTTGGGGTGGTGGACTAGACTGAACAGAATACATTTTATTCACAGATGTGAAGAATTAGTTATTAGATAGGAGTACAACAATCTTGATGGATTTGTGGCTTAACATGTAACTGGCACATGGTTCATATTCCAGATGAATAGATCACAATTTCCAATATATATAATTGTTGTGTTCCAGTAATACAGGACCACATCAACCACCAGCTTCCTCAGGGCATTCCAGGATTCTACAAGCGAAGGACATGGTTGCCTTGGTGCATTTGAGTGGCAGCTTGCGCTGCTGGAGCTATTGCACTTTATGGAATCCTTCCAATTCAATTCAGTCTGATCTACATTAAGAGAGTGTCCACAGATAAGTACATCTGTTGCACATTAAGATGCTAGGAGTCTTTCTGTAATGCAGCATTTTACAGTCATAAGTCCATGGCTGCTTCAGTGTAGACAGACCTAACCTTTGGCTCTGGATCCAAGCTTTTCAGGGATAAAACCTGTTTATGCCAAATCTAGTAAAGAAAAATGCTCTCACAATAAGCTCTTGAATTCTCTAGGGAAATTCTTCTGGGATTTTAAATCCTGGATGGTGGAGCTTGGAAATGTGCCATGTTAATTATCTGGGGTGGGCCATTCAGCTGCCAGATAGTATTTGTGGGTGCATTACCAGACCCCAATTTAATAGATTAGCAAATGTTTTATAAATGCCATAGTAAGATGGTGATTGTAGCAGAGCTTCATTCCAATAAGATGTCCTTTTAGAGTATTTTTTTGAAATCATCTCAAAAACGTTGGGTAAAAATGTTTTTCAAGCACTAGGAAGTTTGACCAAATAAACTTCAACAAGATGCTTGAATACAGATACAACCCAAAAAGATTTCAAGGAATACAAAACTGCCATTGGTGTTGTATGAATTCTGATGCAAAGTGATACAAAGTGACAGTAAATTTAACTAAGTAAAGTGAAGGTTGATTCAATAATTGTTTCTTGTTGCCTCAGATTTTCCAAATTGTATCATAGTTACTAGATTGTTCTGAATATTTAAATTACTTTATAAGGAACACTAGCCCCCACCACCACTAACATAAATTTTCATAGTAGTATTTGAAAAGGGGGAGTAAAAGTTGTAATGTGGTCAGTATAAAGTCAATAAAAATGTTTTGTATAAATAATAACGATCTGACTATCTCTTCCCCCCCCACCCACCATGGGTTCACTTGATTTGCAATACCAGCAAAAAAATCAAAGTTGGAAAAGGTGCACATTACATGATTAACTACATAGAAATTGCATCTCTTGGGCATAAGTCCACAACTTTACAATTCTTATCCCTGGATTTTTTTTATTGGCATCCAGCAGCCCCTGTGGCATACTCCGTTTTTGCTTAGTTGGTGATTGTAGGGTAAGTGACAATTTTGAAAATGTCATTTAAGGCAAAAACAAAATCGCCTTGCGTTCAGAACAATGCAGTATTAAGTCTGAAAGTGTTACAGTGTATCTGGTCCTTGATTTTTAAAATATAAAATCAAGTTTCCAACTATACAATAACTATTCCCCATTTTTACCTATAGGTTGGCCACTATGCACCTTAAGCCGTATCCAAAGCTTCCAAAGAAAGATGTCTCTCTAGAACCAAGCCAACAATCTTTTGGAGGCCTTCATTCAAGCCAACATGCGACAGTAAGAGTTGAAAGATGTCAGGCCACCTACACCAAACAGTCCTCTTGTGAATCCATTACAGTTAACACTGTGGCATCTCACATCAGTTTATGGTGCCCAAGACCCTTTGGTATCAACTCTCAAAATAAAATGTGCAATATGAAGAATCCATCCGATAATGCTACCTTTAAGGGAAGGAAGAAACGAATGTCCAAAATTACTTTGCCTCCTTCGATTCATCAGGAAGAAGGGGAGGTTCTACTAGATATTTGGGCCGTAATAAAACCTGGTAACACTAAGGAGAAAATTGCATTCTTTGCAGCACAGCAAAGTAACAGGACAGGATCTGTGAAAATAAAAGGCAATTGGGATACAGATGTCACAACAGCCAAACGTCGAAAGAAATCTGTTGATTTGGAGAAAATAAAAGTTCAACCAAATAGAGTAAAGGAGAATGGAAAGGAAGGTGACAGAAAGTCACCTCCAACAACCAGTAGTAGTGAGGAGAATGCATCAATAAATAGTGATGGGTTGTGTCATAGTAGCTCCCTTTCTGTAGCAGAAATGGTGGCTCTTCTAGAACAAAGAGCAAATGCTCTCCTCCCAGACTGTACCAAAATCTTAAACTCCAATATTAACATGCCAAGTATTGGGCATTCGACAGGAACATCCCCATCTCCAGAAGCCATTTCAGCCGCAGGATCAGATTTTTGTTTCAACCACAAAAGGCCCACTGAGAATAAGACGCAGGGTGAGTGTGTGCGAGTTATAGAAGTTATAGCTAGACTTGAATCCGAATGTTTGAAAAACCAGCATGAAAGGAATGGAGAGAGTCTGTCGAGGAACAACAGCTTCCGCAGAGGGGTGGGAAGGGTTTTGCTGACTGGTCCACAACAGTCAGAGCAGAAACCCAGCAGCGACGAGGTGGTTAGAACTTCCCCTGAGGTATCCAGATTCTCCAATGATCTTGTTGAAAGTAATGAACGACACCACAGCTGTATAAGCATGAGCCATACCTCCACTGCTTGCACTGAATCCTGCAAGGACATTGCACATGCTCTGGGTATTAATCTTTCTGGTGCTATGTTGGATCTTCCTAATAAAGTTACTCCAACTTGCAAAGAAACAAAACCATTCCGGAAGCGCACCAAAGGAGTTTCCAGTAATGATGGGATGCAAATGGAATATTGTAGCATGCCCTCCTTTTGTTGGGAAATGGACAATAGGTTTGTATCAAACTGTATTTTGCCAGGGATTAGTGTTGGCGAGTATCCGAATGATTTTCGTGTAAATAAAGAGTTGGTATCTAGTGTGGTGGATGAAGACGTTGCTATGAGACTGAATGAAGAGGCGGAATTTACATCAGTAACTGGATCTTGCCCGGAAGAGATTAGTTCCTGTGAGGAACCGCCTCCAGGAGAATTGTTTTTCACACTTGCACAGTCCCATGTTGAAAACTTGGATTCAAATGAAAAAACTACTGAAGAAATCCAGGAGGTTGCACAGGACAAATATGACACTCTGCCTGCTAATAAAAGAGCCTTTGAGGGTGCCGGTTTCCTGGAAGAGAGCTGCCCTAGTTTGTACTCATCTGTTGAAACCTCAAGCCCTTTATTTACAGAAACCTTTCCTCTAAGAAGGCAGGTATCTCATGAGTTCTTGGAAATGCGTTTCAAAATCCAGCAGCTTCTTGAGCCTCGGCAGTACATGGCCTTTTTGCCTCACCACATTATGGTGAAGATTTTCATGTTCCTCCCTACCAGGACCCTGGCAGCTCTTAAATGCACGTGCCATTACTTTAAGTTCATTATAGAAAACTATGGCATTCGAGCAACAGATTCCCTCTGGGTCCGTGACCCACGATACAAAGACGACCCATGCAAGCAGTGTAGAAAGCATTACTCCAAAGGGGATGTGTCCCCATGTCGGTGGCACTCGAAACCCTACTACAAAGTCTTACCTTATGGACGCTCATACTGGATGTGTTGCTGGCAAGCAGAGAAAGATTCACCTGGGTGTAAAATTGGACTTCATGATAATAATTGGGTGCAGTCTTGTAATCACATTCAACAAATATGTGAAAAGGTAAAGAAGAAGAATGGAGAGGGAGTGTGACTTTTTTTAAATGGTAGATCTGCTTTAGCCTGACCTGAGCTTGAGAGAATTCCTGTTGGATCTTCTGCTTCCTGTAGAAATTGGAATATTTTGTCAGTCCTGCACTGTTTACATTGTACAGTATGATCATATTGGCTTATGAGCCCGCATGTACAGAACTTTAGCAGCCGTAAGCTGTGAGGGAAGCGCAGTATTTGCTATATCATGTGTTTTATCGGTTTATAGTTTTGTGCTGTTAAATGTAGTTGGCACAACAACTGAACCACTAGAGCACAGCTATGTTAGTGTGGCAGTTAGTCAGTTTTGAATGTCGGTCTTTCTTTTGAATCGTTTGTAAATGCCACGTAAAATTACATTTGAATGAAAATGCAAAATCTTTTTGGTGAGGAGGAAAAACCCTTATCCTTGTACATCCTATAAAATGGACTATCTGGACAGTTTTAGAATTAAAGTAGTGAATTCTTGCTATGTGATGTCAAGGCAAGTGAATACATGCAATAAATAGCAGATACATTTTATTAGCAATGTAAAATTACAAGTTATGAAAAACATGGAATTGCTTGAAATTTTTTTCAATAACGTGGTTTGAGTGTTCAATTTCGTCTGAGTGTACAGCAGCACTGTTTGCTTTGGATTGATGTGTCACAAAGCTATTTGGGAGTCGTCACTTAGCCCTGGTAGAAGATCACTCAGTGGAATGCATTTTCTTTCATCTGTCCATTTCATAAATCTTATTTGGAGTAACAGATGGCTATTAAAAATTCACTGTGTACTGAGTGTTTTCAACAGGTAGAAACAGATACAGTAAACTCCTGATAACTCCACTGTGGCTCAACTTATCACTACCACTTAAGACATCATGCTGTCAACATCCCAGCCACATTCATTTATGTATTTATACATATGCGTAACCCACCACTCCAGATAACTCGTCACTGACTTCCCCTCCACCCCTTTTCTCCCTTGGAGTGACAAGTTATGAGGAAGTTTACTGTATTTTGCTTAATGCAAGTATTTCTACTTGGTACATAGGCCCTTTGGTTTCTTAAAAGTACATCAAGCACTTCTGTACCAATTGTATTTATTCAACAAATGACCACATCTGTTTAATACTCATTTAAATTGAAACAATTTTAGTATCAGAATTGTGCACCTTTTGTTCTAAAGCAGTTATGAGGTGGATGTTTTAATAAGATTAACCCATGTTCATACCTAACTAGATTGGAGTCCAGCTTCCAGATATATTAACATTAGACTGTGTAAAAGTATGTTTGCATTCAGCTGTATTTAGCATCATGGATTTTTTTGCTGGACAGGAACAAAACTCATTTTCTACAAAAAAAGCCATACCTCGGCTTGGTATTCTAAAATGTTTAAGGTGCAAAAAGATCTGGTTCTCTTTCCGCCCCCACCCCCACCCACCTTCCGTAATTGTTTTTAAACCTTGATCAAGAAAGATATCTGAGCAAAACTTTAAAACCACAGCCCAGTGGTTTTATCCTTTGAGTCACAATCGTGAGCCCCATGTGAATTTGAAAATCAGTTTTAAAAAATGTTTTCCTGTTTCCTTTCTCTTTTTCTATCCCTTTTTTAAAAAAAAAAGCACCTGCCCGATGACTGCATTTGATTGCATAGCATGATTCATGGGTAAACATTTTTAAAAAATCAGTGGTGATTCGTTTAGATCAACAAATCTATCTAAATTTAAGACCAAGGTACGAGAGGCTTATTTTTTTGGTGAGATCCCGAGGGAGAACAGCAGATTGTTTTTTTTAAAAAAATATTGTACTCTAACTGCATTTATTGAACATGTCTTAAAAATTTAAACAAATGGTGGTGGTCAAGATGATTATTGAGCCTATTTATCCTGTACAAAGAATGGTGCCTCTTCCTTTTAAAGGTTGTGGTTTCTTTACTGTTTCCAGAAGGCAACAGGATTGTTGGATGTATTTGTTCCTTTTGCAAAACAAGTCTTTAGAACTCCCTAAATGCTATCTTTAAAAGCTTGAGATACATGACTGACGAGTCAAAGTACACACCAAGTATGTTCCTGATGAGTGCAACTAAGGTTTTCTTTTTGCAATTGATATTTTCCTATGTCACTTTAAAATTAATAAATTATAGGAAAATATTAATTTAAATGCAGTAAATTGTAATGGAGACCTGCTTTTTTTTTAAACCACCTTTTGGTCACCAGTGCACTTAAATGTTTTTGAGATAGTGCCTAAAAATGCTCACCTGGTTGCTGCAGATTCTCGGTAACTTGTATGTCTGCACCTAGTTTTGCTCCAGAATGCGTCTCTTAAATAAGTTTGCTTCTTACTCCCAAACAAACTTTGAGAGCTGGATAATACAAGCATCTCTCTAAATCTGAACAGTTACTATACAGTTGCATAGCTGTTGTCATGTACTTTAACTTACAATTTTATAGTTTCAAATGTGAAATTGTAAAATCAAAGGCTTATAAATATCCCTGGTTGTAAATGGTTTGGTACCTATTATAGAAGTTCATTGTACCCCTCTTCTGGATTAGAAGTTTCAGTAGCCTTTCTTTCCAGGAAACGTTTATCAATATTGTGTTGGAAGCTGTATCAGACTCCAAATATTCCCTTTGTTAATAAAGAGTTGATTACAGTTTACTTTTCACTACAGCATTGACTTCATCTTTTGTTTTTTTTCCACCCATTTTTCATTCAGTTATATCCTGAAATGTGCTGCTAATCTTTTGAACATTTCTCACATAGCTGCACCTTGCCTAAAGCTATAATGAAGTCCAAAATGTGGCTATACGCCAGTAACCTACAGGAATTCTAAGTGATCGTGCTCTACTGCAGTTCCTGTGTGATGGATTTATGGTATCAGCACTACATGATGTATATTTTGGACCAGTATTGCCCTTTTATTTTGACACTAGGGTTGTTTTGCCTTCTTGGTGATGTTTTGTGGAAAGCACTTAATATTAAATGAATTCGTTTCCAATATGCAACAATAACATGAGTAGGTAGAGATTTTTGTAAGAGTAGTGATGTTCTAATTGTGCTCTTCAAAAGATGCCCAATACCCCACCCACAGCTGAGTGACTAATGAATTTGCTATTTTTTGAGGGCCTAGATTATTACTCATCTAACAATGCTAAAGGTTGAACTTTCCTATTAATTTTAGATTTAGATCAACTTCCACATGTATGCGGATGAAACCCAACTCTTATCTCTCTGTCTCCACTTTGACTCCCAAGACCACTGTCAGACGTTCAAGTGCTGGATGAGAGCTAACTTTCTACAGTTGAACATCAACAAGACTGAGGACCTCCTGATTGGCTCTGAGGCACTGACAGCATCACTATCCAAGGATGCACACTCCACTGAGCCAGTCCGGTACCTTGCCCTTGTAACTCAACTGTCCTTTCTACCCCACATCTGTGCCATGACCAGCAATATTCCCCAGCTCTGCCACTGCCTCACCCCTCAGGCCACCGAAACCCTCATCCACGCCTAGGCTCCACTACTCCAACTCTTCTCCACAAGCTGCAGATCATCCAGAACTGTATTGTATTGTTAGCATCTTTGCCATGTGATCTACAGGTTGGCTGTCTTCACTTGAAAGTAACTCCTGTGAAGTAATGATACTTTTTCCACTGGATAACATGGCGTTATATCAAATGCAAGAATTATAATAATTTATATTACAGTAGTAATTTAACTGGAATGCACACAAAGATCATTCCCCCTTAGCAGTCCATTACAACAACTGATACTTGATGAAAAAGAAAAACACATTGAAATAACCCTGCATGATGTGCAGTCTGATCCAAAAGTTATAAAAGGAGTGAAATCACAACACAAAATACTGAAATTCCAAGTCCTGGTGATGCCAGTATTATCTGGCTCTCCATTTTTCTGGTCATCTGCCCTTAAGTAAGCTGACTAGTGGAGACACTTACAAACAGCCAACCATTTAATGGCAGATTGGTTGCTGGATAAACTTTGGATTTTACAAGGTTTCTAATAAATTTAATTGTTTTCCCCATGTAAAACAAAACACCATTGAAATTAGATTACATATCAACCAAAGATTAAAAATTGTGAAAAATTGTCCACATTGATATTTTATCATAGCGGTGCCAAAAATCTAAAACAACCCAATTGATTATTTCAAATACAATATTCCCAAGTTTAGTTTTTTAAAACCAGCTCTTAATCAAGTTTATTTTACAGCACTTAGTCAAACAACGTGTAGGATTGTAACAAGTGAAGACTAATGGTATAGACCACAGAATCTCTTAAAGCTTTACTAAGGCCTGTCACTTGGCCACACAGCATTGTGAAGCTCCTTGTAACTACAGTACATGATTTGGGATTTATTAATGTCTGACAGCAAAATTGTCAACTCTCCTATTGCTGAAATTTAAATTAGGGAAACACTTTTGAGGAAACGGTATTTTGCTAGTCTACACAGCCGTCATTTAAAAATATATATATAAAAAAAATCAAAAAAGGCAATTTACTCAAAACTTCAACCAACTCCCACCACTGTAGTCTAAGTAAACTGACCCAGCAAAGTGGACAGTGGTAAAGTGGAACTTGACTCATCCGTGCAGGCAAGTCTGTAAAGTGTACTTAGCAGCCAGCATATAAGTTCAGCTTGGAAGAAAATACATAGAGCTTCACATTACAATTGATAATGTAACATGTATGCTGGGCAGGTCTGAATATCAAACACAACCTGGGGTTGCTTTACAAATAGAAGTTTTTCTTATACTGAAACAAAACCTGGACAAATGTTGCAGCTTTCAGTAGTTTTATGCTCATTCTGATCAGTATAAGCACAACAGTCTTTTTTGCTGCTGATTAAGTTAGGCAGTGCTCAAACAAGTGTTCTTCCCAGGTGTCTTGGTTTCATGTTTATATTCCACAGCAGCAGACGATCAGCGGTGGCCATAGTATTGTTTCCACCATGATGTAACTGATGCTGCCGCAGAAGATATCATACCACCTGTGCTGCTGGTGCTGGCGCTGATGGGTTGCGACGCCTGCATGGCCTGACTCTGCAACACTTCCACTGGCTGAGATGGGATGTCATAAAATCTGGGACTTGGCACAGTCTCCCAGTCTGTTCCCAAATCAGTCTCTTCGTCAGTCATATGTTCATCACCACTCTCATCCGTCTGACCAGCAATGCTCGGGTCCACCAGTTCCATTGAGTCTTCAAGATCAGTGCTGATTTCAAAAGGCCCAGATCTAAATGTTAAAACAATCAAGTCAATTTAGATTACTCAATAGGGTACAAGGAATACATTTACCAATCAACAACAGAGTGCTGACTGCACATTTTTGATCACTGGAAAACACAGCAGTCCAATGTGCAAATAATGATTTCCTTATTTCCCACACTTTCTGTTCAAAGTACCTGACCAAGCTGAAGAGCAAACCATCCACCAGTAATGCGAATCTCACTTTACATAGTTGCAGCAGCCTTCTCTATTACTAACATTCTCCAATGACCCATGTGTTACAGGTCAGGACAGAACAGAGTAGATGTTCAAGAATTACCCTTAATTAGACTGGGCACCACAGATAGGCTAATCCAGAGCCCCTAGTCCAGGAAAAAATGGCATTGCTTAGTGTACCTTGCTAATTAAATTACAGCCCTTTGGTAAATGTTTCCTCAAACAGACTTGCTCTTTAATCCTAAAACTACAGAGGTCCTGCTTACCTGCCCAGATTGCTATTTCCAGGACTGACCAGATGCATAATATTCCGGAGCGTGTGCAAAGGATGCAACAGCTCAGGGTTAACATGCTGTGTGTGATAAACAAAACATTACAAAACATCAGTTCATGTAAATTCACCATAGCTTTCACACCTCTAGATTTTCACACCTAAAAATAGTGTTATAAACTGATTTGCAAAGAACCATATTCAGTATAATACAGTACTTGCATTTGATAATAAATTAAACTCCCGATAACTTAACCCTTGTTTAACTTCTCACTACCATTACAGTCAACTTGCTGTCAATATTCCAGCTGTATTTATACCTCTGCCTAACTCAGCATTCTGGATAACTCGCCACTGAGCCCTTTTCCCTCGGAGCGACGAGTTATCAGGAGTTTACTGAAGTTAGTGTCTTATTATATTGGTGAGACATCTCAAAGCTCTCCCCAGACAGTAAATTGTAGTGACTATTTGAAGGCAAAAGCGGCAGCTTATTTGTGCATAATAATAATAATCCTTGTATTTAATTTAGCACCTTGCTGTCTTCAAGACGTTTGGAAGAGCTGCACAGCATATATTGTAAAGTGTAGTTACTGTATTTTGTGAGCAAAATGTTCACAAAGTGTCCCACAGACACTTGGGATTGTTAGCTGGAACACCTGGAAAAACTCCCATCTATTCTCAAAACAGTCTCACAGGACCTTTAACATCTACCAGCATTTATATAGCACCTCGATTTGCATTTATATAACGCCTTTCACATCGGGAAGATGTCCCAAGGCAGTCGGAAGCAGGTAAATCAAATCAGTTAACAACATTATTTTCAGTAACAAGCTATTTGAGTTAACATTCAGCCTATTTCATATTGAATGGTGTGGTACCTGGGAAAAGCAAAGGTGTAGGATGTTTGCATTCAGTTTATTCACTGCCCGAATAAACTTCTTCCTGCTCATATTCTCTTCACAAAACTCGCTGCAGATGGCAAAAACATGTCAGAAACATAAAACTAATAAGTGCTACAAGTGCTCACAACTATTTATAGTGGTTATAATAATAACAGTCCTTGCATTTGATTCTCCGACTGTACCTCACCCCAAATGCAGTAGAAATCCTCTTGCATGCGTTTGTCACCTCCCGCCTGGATTACTTAAGCACACTCTTCACCGGTCCCCAGCTCCACTATTCAAAACATCCAGCTCATTCAGAGCTCTGTTGGCCGCATACCTACCGAGACCAATCTCTGTACCCCCATCTCACCAGTTCTAGCCAGGCTTTACTGGCTCCCCATCACCGAACGGATCGACTTCAAGATCCTCGCACTCATTTTCAAATCCCTTCACTGCCTGGCACCACCCTACCTCTCCGACCTCCTCACTCCCCAATCCACCACCAGTCGCCTCCGCTCAACTGGCACCGGTCTAGTCTGAAAACCTTCCTTTTCGACTGCTTACGTTCACCTTCCCTCGCCCCTCTCCCCAAATGGCTTGGATTCAGGCTCCGTCACTGTTAAGCGAGTGGAGCGTGCTACACAAGTGCACGTTGTTGTTGATATAGTGCCTTATCATGTCGAGACGTCTCAAAGTACTTCAGAGAATATACTTTAAAGTGAATTGACTGTATATTTTGTGTGCACATAAGTACAAGGATAGAGTGCTCAGGACAAGGATGTTCCAAAGAGGATTTTAATTACTAAGAAAGAAAATTAAAAAAAAGCAACATCTGAAACAAAACTGAAAATGCTGGATGAAAAAAACACAGTAGGTGATATTGTAACGCCAGTGTCTGAAGGGTCAGAATGGAAACATTAACTACCCTTCCTCTTTCAGACCCAGCATTTTCTGGATTTGGAGCCAATTAACGAGTTTGCTAACTTTGAGTCTTCACTGTATTTAAAACCAGCCAACAGCATTGCACCAGCCAAGACTGGGTCACAATCTAGATTTGTGGATAAAGAAAAATAACCTTGACAAGACGCTGAAGAGCTGCCAGGGCCCCTTTCAGCAGAATTGAGAAGATTAAAGAATTCCACACACATTTGATTCAGTGCCATGGTTAACCTATGCCCATTTCATAAATTGTACATCCTAAACATCCACCATCTAATCCTGTTATCCTAAACAGCCATTATTTAATCCTGATTTCAGACCACAATTTCAAGGATTTTTAGGAAATTAGAACGAACGAAACTGGATAGCATTTTATCCAATATGGAATTCCATCTATATCTGAAGGTCTATCACAGTTTTTAATCGTTCACTTTTGGATACTTGCCTGTTGTAAAGTCTTTTGGGAAGATTTACATCCAGAATATGAGAAAGCGTATTTGCCAGTTGTGTGGCGTAGCACAGTGCCGCACTGATGGTATACGCGGGGTTACTCTGCTCCACGTCTGTATGTAAAAAGGCAACATAAAGCAGGGTTACAGATTGAATTGGGTTGACAAATACACATCCAAAAACCTTTGATGTCATACAAGAAACAAAAAATGAAACATTTGTTAAAACATCCTGCGATAAAATAAAATTCAATTGAACAATATATGCCAGCCTGAGCTGTGAAGCAATTATAAATTTTGTTTCAGACTGTCCTGTTCAAACAAGTGAATATTTAATAACATCAGGAATGAGCATCGGTTACATTGTTAACCATGTACTTTAAACAAATCATAACATAGAACAGACAATAAAAAGCATTAGGCCAAGACAATCCAATTGCAAACTGTTAAACATTACTTTCTTATTGTCCAGGGATGAAAGATTATGTAGCAGTAATCATCCCCGCATTTTATATCGTGTCTTTAACATCTCAAAGTGCTGCACAGGTAGTTTTGGTCAAGTGTATTAGCGTTAACTGTATTTGCAGCTAACGTGTGCAGAGCAAGGTCCCACAAACAGCCATGAAGCTCATGACCAATTTATCTGGTGGGCTGTTGAACAAGGCACAAGGAGAAACTTTCTTCTCTTTTCAAATAATGCCATGGGATCTATTTGGTACTCTTCATACCAAAATAAAGAGTTTGATATGAAGAATTTTCTTTACACATTTATTCACTCTCCCTTTACCTGTCCTGCAATGACAGCTCAATTCTCAATGCCTCCTCAAAAAGTTAGTGAATTATAGACGTTACTGCATCGTAACCTATGCAAGCGTATTTAACACCATTAAACAATGCTATGCACTTGAACTGTGCAGGAAACTCACCGGGTCCCTGGGCAGTCTTTTTCTCTTCCACCCAGTTATAATATGATGAGTAATCCCCATTGCTGGGAAGGTATATCCAAGAGCCTGTGATGCTTATATTCGTTTCCCCGTTATTGTCATCACAGATCCACCTGCCAGAGAGATAAGTTGTCCTCCTAGCCTCTGCCAGCTCGCTCACAGTACTTGAGGTCATACTGCTGTCGGATTCCAAGGCTGTATCTGCCGGATCCCTGGCAGTGCCAATGAAAGACAACCAAATACAAGTTGAATAATATTGCACACCGGCAGTGTCAAGGCATGAATTAAAATAATAATCTTTACATTTGATATTGTGTCATCCTGTTCTCGAGGCGCTTCACAGAATTTATTGTGAAGTGTAGTAACTGGATATTTTGGAGGTGAACGTGGCAGCCGATTTGTACACGATAATGTCTTACAAACAGCCATGAAGTGAATGAACTCTAAGGATTAGGTGGTTTGGTGAACATTTCTTAAAAATAATCCTTCCTACCTCACACTCGTTTTCACCTCTTGGAGTGGGAAAATCACACTGGTTAGCTCCAGGATATTTGACCAGCGATTGCCGGCCAACAGTTCGTGTCGATTGCAAAGGTCAGCATTTTTCTTCTCGACCAGATCCCCAAGTTTACGGATGTGTCTTTGAATCTTGTCCTTTTTGTCTTGATGTCGCTGAGCTCGCCGCTGCAGCTTTACATTGTCATCCTGATTTCTAAGCACTAATTCAGTATCTAATTTGGACACAAAATTAGATGTTAGTTGCACCAGTTTTTTTTCTCTCACTCTTTCCCCACACTTTTAATGACAAAAGAAGATGTCCTACACAAAACATCCACTGCCTTTAACCAACAGTTCTAAAGAATCACATTTATGGATTGACTGACAGATACCTGCATAGATACACAAGCAGAACTTCATAATAAGGTGGATCTTTTTAAAGCAGATTTATTTATATGACAGAGTTCTGCTTGTACCCAAGGACTTCCTGGTCATCAGATCGTTGTTGAAGTCACACAGGAAGAGATGTCAGTAGTGATCTGATCACCCAGAAGTCGGCAATTATTAATATGTGGGAAAACAGGTCAGTCCACACACTGAAATCAACAGGGTACCCGTCTTCTAAGAAAACCTGCCTTATAATAGGGTTTTACTGTATTTGGTCATCTGTTTCTACTATCCATTTATATGGAAACATATAATATTGTCCTTTTAAAGTTTTGATATAAAGACAATTGCTTTAAACTGTTTCTCTCCAACCAGTCACACTAGCACAATATCATTAACTATGGATAAACTCTGCCCCACCTTTTTTAAAAAAACTGTTTGAACAGAAACACATGTTTAACACATTGTGGGTTCTGCTCCCTAACCATTAACAACAACTGACTTAAGTCACGACTGGTTGAAAAGCAATCTAACCTCCATACTGTTCTCTCCATTAGTGTAAAATACAGAGGAGACATGACTAATAAAGCCTGTCAATATCCAAGGCAAGGTTAATCAGCCTAGTTTGGCTCAACAAGACCTGAGATGTCAACATGCTCCTAACTTTGCAAGCCAAAGCTTCAACAGACTCATGATCCTAACTGAACAAGTGCCTTACAACTAACCAATGGTATGCTACTCTTAGCTCAAAACATTACATCTTGTTTTAATAAACTTATTAAACAAGAAATAAACAAGAAATAGTGTTTTGAGTTAATGTTTTCATAAACAATGAATTAAACAAGAAATAAAGTTTTGAGCTAAGAGTAGCACACCAATGTAAACACTGATATGTACAGAAGATCCAACATACAAACGTATAAAATTGTAGTTTCCAATAACATTTGTGGAGCTTTTATACCAGCTCTCTGCAGTTTCCTGTGACCCACCCAAATGACATCATTTGCATTACTTAAGAGTGAGTTCATTAAGGCTGGGTTTCATCGAGGTATGAGTCACAATTTATGTAGTTTCAAACCGGGGGAGAAAAAAAACAGGTCAATTGAGGTAGCCTTAGCAAAGACCATAAACAGGCACGAAACATATAAATCTTAAATGGAACGAGTTTACGGTACAGGAATGAAAGGAACAAGGTACCACTGAGATTTAGACACCTGCTGCATCAACAGCTTTTCAACTTCAGGATAATAAGTTAAAAAAAAACAAGATAGAATTTCAGGGTGACCTGATGATGCAGCAGGTTATATCTCTGGCTAATGGCTAATCCATGCTGTTCAGAATTCCCCACGTGCGATTTCCAATCCCAGCCGTGCCAAAGTGAAAGAGGTTGCGAGTGGAAACTCGATGAACAGCAACTCATGCTACTCTCATACACCTCCCAGTGGTTGCTTATAAACAGCACTGGCTGAAAACTAGGATGAGATCGCTAGGCCTGCTTTCATCCTAGGAAGGTCCATGTACAGAGAGAGAAACAATACAAACAATGACTAAGTTTTCAAAGATTCCTATCAGAATTTCACCAAATGGATAAACTATTGTTAACCCATTTTAGCTCACTTAAGTTCTTGTACCTCTTTGGACGTCATCATTTCCAGAGGAAATCGCCTCCTTCAGCTGTTCAATCCTCATTTGGCAAGACATAATCTTCCATTTCTAAAAATAAAATAATTGGAATACAAGGCTTTCAAACAGAATTAATTGGAAGGTTAACATACAGAGCAAAAGTATTTTTACTCAAAGTGAATTGACTGTATATTTTGTGGGCAAAACGTAGCAGCCAATTGCACACAGTAATATCCCACAAACAGTCTTGGATTGACTGACCAAATTATTTTTATTTATTTTGAAGGAATTATTACCCCTGGAAAAGCGATCCGCCAATAGATTAACAACCAGGTTCCTACTTACTGCTAAGTAAACAGAGGCATGTGGAGTAAAGAAACTTGTCCAACCTTTCGCCCCGGGTCCTCGCTTGCGAGGCGAGCGTTCTAACCACTGAGCTACAAGATTCCACAATGTAGTATCTTATCATGCCGAAGAGACGTCTCAAAACCCTTCACGTTGTAAAGTCAAGTGACTGTGTATTTTGTAGGTTTTAGTTCATTTCACACAGGGTTTATTGCAACCTATGGTAACTGATGCATTATTTATCCCGAAAGTCTTTCTACGTCTTTTGATAATGAATCATTGTGCGGAAACTGTGTGGTGAAGCAGCTAATGTTTTGACACTGATAAATATTTCATAAAGGCAACTAACACAAATGCACTCACACAAACATTGAGTGAAATGCTCTTTCTTTCATCTCGAAGGAAGGTGCATCGCTCACTTTTGCTTTTATATTTCAAACCACTGAGGTCATGTGACTTCAAAGAAATTTGGCTGCAAGAATAAATGATGGATTTCTGCCACAAACAGCTTAAATAAATCACATAATTTTACAAAATTGGCTTTGGCTAATAAAAATATTTGAAAACCCAACTGGTTCTACATCCAACAGAGTAATTCATCATCAAGCTTTTCCGTTACCATAAACTGATTACAGTACAATGCTGAAAGGAAGAAATATCCAAATGTTTAAGATTAGATGAAACTGACAGATAACAGGTGGAATTGGCTTTTATACAACAACAAATTACACTTGTATAACGTCTTTCACATCAGGAGGACATCCCAAGGCACTGGACAGTCTGTGATCCACACTGGACAGGCAGAGTACGATGACAGAAGGGATACAAAATGTGAATATGGCACAAACCCTATTAAGCAATAAATAATAGATAACTCACCAACTCATCAGCTTTCCACTTTCCTTCAATAGCTTTGATAACTCTACAAAGTAAGATGAAAGGAACTGAAGCATAGTCTAGTCACCCAAACATGCATATATAATATACATGTAGAATATATACACTCTCATCCACACGGAAAACAGTTCCAAACAGCATATGAAAACATTGGCTGGTAATGAAGAAAACAGTAAAATTTTAGCCACACAATGAAAGCAAAATGTAAACTATAGATGAACAGTATAACTCTTACTGTTGCTGGTATTCATCTTTTTCATTTCTCAAGCATTTTAGCCGGTCCAGCTTGTCTGCATACCTGCACAGAAATAATAAACCTTAATGATGAAAAAACACAATTTTGCTTTAGGAAGAAAATAATGGATTACTGCAGTCTTATTGCATATTATGGAGACTGTCCCACCATAATAGAAGACAACAACCTGTGCTCAAGTGTTTTTGTAGGTCACTCACTTGTTCACACCAGAAGAATGGGGAATAAGCCTGATGTGATCATAGTAAGTTTAATCTAAAAGGTGAAAATGCTGTGAATTTGAAGATGCCACAAAAATACAAGTCCACCGTCACCCGAAAGAGGTGATTTTAGGCATCACTCTTCACCAGAAGAGTTCTGCCTTTCAAATACTGATTGACAGGGATCACTTGACAGCATTTTCTGTTTTCAATTGAATGACATACAGTAAATATACAACACAATCTCTCTAGTTCGAATAATGGAATGGGGGCGGAGGGGGGGAAAGGAGTGAGGAAAATCTAATTTTCATTCATAGTTCCATTATTCCAGTCTAAAGTGGGGAGGGTTGAAAGGTAGACAAGAACAATGGTGGTTTTTGAGAAGTAATTTCATATTGAGATTCTGCCGAAAAAGGCCCTTCCAGAATACCAACCCTATCTTCACTGATATAGAGCATCATAGTCTTTTAAATGAATCTTGGCCTCTAACACACTTCTTAGTAACATATTCCAGCTGTTGATTACTCTCTATGTAAAGAAACTCCTGGTGGCTGTCCTGAAATTGCCTTTTGCAACTCTGAACATGTGCCCTCCTGTCCTGCTCCCTGGCACAACTGAAAGTATTGTTCTAGATTTCTTTTATCTCATTTAGCATCGGGGTTTCACAAAGCTCATTCCTCTGATACCAGGAATCATTCTTATTGCTATCCTCCGCACATCTCCAGGGCTCAAGGACTCACTGTACCCCTTAGGCATGACTTCAGGTGACTCAACTAAACTCAACTCTATCTGTCAAAGTAGCCAAACATCCCATTGTTCAGATGTGAAGTTAAACTGCGATCCCGTCTGCCTTTCAGGTGGACACTACAGATCACAGGGCACCGCTCAAAATGAGAAGCGAGTTTCTCCTAATGTCCTGGCCAGCAATCCCCCCAGATAAAACCGGCCATTCACCTCATGCCTGTTTTGTGGGGGCATCACTATTGTCGTGCGCAAACTGGCCGCCATGTTCACTCACAAAAAACACACAGTTGCTGCATTTGACGGTACAGCCTGCGAAACGCTGAGCCGCTTTGACAACGTGAAAAGGTGGCCCCACCGAAAGCAAGGATCATTAATTCTACCCGTTCGGCTTCAGTTAGCTCCGACTCACATTGTTTGGGTACGAGGTGAGCAACTAACAACAACAATTTACACCTGCACGGGGCCCTTCGTCGGGAGGACCTCCCGATAGATGCGTTAGTTGTGGGATGGGATCTTTAAACAGGCAGACGGGACCTCGATTTAACGTCTCATCTGAAGAATGGCACCTCTGACAATGCAACGCCACCAACCCCACCCCCCCCCCCAACCACCCCCCACCCCCAACCACCACCCACCCCCAACTACCACCCCCAACTACCACCCCCCCCCCCCCCCCCCCCCAACTACCACCCCCCCCCAACTACCACCCCCCCCCAACTACCACCCCCCCAACTACCACCCCCCCCCAACTACCACCCCCCCCAACTACCCCCTCCCAACTACCACCCCTCCCAACTACCACCCCTCCCAACTACCACCCCCCCCAACTACCACCCCAGATCTCTGCCCTGGAGAGGGAGGCGAGGGAAGGAAGCGAGATGACAGGCTCTGAGCAGCTCTCTGTCTACTTCCCAAGTGCGTCTGTCTCTGACCGTCTGTTTCTTGGAACCTATGAAGTTGAAGGCTGACTTTTAACCAGAACTTTGTCCGTTCCCTCCGCGACATCAGCTCCTGTGGTGGCGGGTTGGAGGGGTAACGACCCCGACCTGGCTTGTCGGGGGCCTGACCCGGCCCGCGGGCCGGCTGGCACCCACCAACCCGTTTCCTCCCCGTTTTAGCGGACCTGGCGGGCTGTTATTCATCCTTATTATCATACACATACATTATAACACATATATATTACCTCTCCGAGTTCCTGCCGTCGAAGTACACGAAGTCCCCGGCCAGGATGCACTTGGCGCACGTCAGGCGCCTCCTGGCCGTGTTACAGAGCGGGCAGCGCTCCACGGCCACGTACAGACCCTCGGCGTCGTCCACCGAGTCGAGGAGCGGCAGGGCGAGCGGCAGGAGCGGCGGGAGGAGCGGCGGGGGCGGCGGCGGTACCGGCTGAGCTGCCCGCGGCCCGGGCGCCGACGCCATCGCGCTGCCCGCCGCCAGGTCACGTGTCTTTGTTGTTGACCCGGTGCATTGTGGGAAGCTCCCCCCCCCCCTCTCTCCCTCTCTCGGTGTCTAAGGGAACGTCCGTCAATCACTGCCACAGCCCCAGGCGCAAAATACTAAATAAAACGCCCCCCTCCCTGTACACCCCCAACCACACCCACACACCCCCCCCACCCCCCAAAAAAAAGCATTGGCTGACACAATATGTTTGATGCACTGCATTTGATTTTTTTTCTGGCCGCCCGGTGCCCGACCCGTACAGAAACCCATCCCCGTGCGAAAGAGGGGTCCAAACCCAACTGAGAATTCCGTGCATCCCACCTACACGCGGAAATCCCAGAGACGGGTTGTTGGAATGGAACGCGCACTCTCTCTCTCTCTCTCTCTCTCTCGCTCTCTCTCCCTGGAGGGACACCTCCTGCTTACCTAATTCTGGAAAGTATCAGGCGGCAGGTTGGCAAGAGCCAAGGCTCGGGGGACCCCGGAACCCGCGTTGAGGTCTCATCCCCCCAAATAACATTAGCCACTCACTCCACAGCTGTTTGTGGGACATGGCTGTGCACAAATTAGCCTCTGCATTTCACCCACAAAATGCAAAGTTAATTTACTTTATAGTATATCCTGTGAAGTGCCTCGAGTCATCTCAACGATAAGGTGATAAGGTGCTATATCAAATGCAAGTCATTATTATTGCACCAAATATAAGAGTTATTGTTATTTTTTATTAACAAGTCACTCAGAAATTCGATAGCATGGAGGTCAATTGTGAGTTTCTCCAGTATTTGTGCTCTCAGTACACACCCAATAATATCAAATAACAACCTTAATATAATATCAGTCTTTAGGCTAAGGAATATCTTCATAGAGGCTCCTGTGAACTGTTAGCCAGTGTCATCCACAGTGTGGAATAAAGGGTCCAGACAGATTGCTCAGTGCAAACATTCATATTTTACTTTACAGTTTAACCCCAAGAGACATCACATACACCATGAATGCAATTTAATTGCAACATTTTCAAAGAAATGTTTTTTTCTTCTACCAAAGAACATTCACAACGTCCTATAACAGAGGGCAAAATCAGAAGCTGAATGCGCTGGTGAGTACATATTTCCAAGAGTAGGTTTGAAATATAAAGCATATGATTGGAAAGCCATTGTGTTATTGAGGATACAGTGATCAGACATATTTATATGTGCGACTAGGGACAGATGTCATAGTGAAGTGGATCCTATCCTGATGTTTTAGCAATGGCACTTAGCTTACTGATACTGATGGTGGTTCCTTTTTGCTAGCATGCCTTCTTAAAGCCCTTTAAGATGGGATAAATGTTTTCAAAAGCTTCGTAGATCTCTGACCGGAATTTGGCACCTACAGAAAGAAAGAAAGTTTTTTTTGTTCAGAAAATGCATTGAGGGTGGGACTCATGCATCATATAAACACATATAACAACAACAAGATTACATTTGTATAGCGCCTTTCACGTCGGGAGGACGTCCCAAGGCACTGAACAGTGTACAGCATTTCAGACCCGAGCTGGGGTCGGGGGTGGGGGGGAGGAAGGGAGGGGAGGGGAAGGGGGGTGACCGATGGCATGGTCAAAGAGGAGGATTTTGAGGCAGGACTTGAAGGAGGCTAAGGAGGAGGAGTGATTGGGGGATGGAATTCCAGAGGTTGTGGCTCTGGAACAGTGGCTGAAGGCTTTCCCGCCAATGGCGGGGCCGGTGGGCCAGGGGACGTAGAGCAGGCCAGAGCCAGTTGAGCGGAGGGAGGGGGCGGGTTGGTAGGGAGGTTGGTAGGGTAGGGTAAGGCCATGGAGGGCTTTGTATGTGAGGACCAGGATCTTGAACTGGATCCTCTGAAGGATGGGGAGCCAGTGGAGTCGGGCGAGAATGGGGGAGATGGGGTCACAGAGTTTGGTGCGGGAGAGGAAATTGGCTGCAGAGTTCTGGATTATCTGCAGCCTGTGGAGGGAGGAGTTTGGAAGGCCGACAAGCAGGGCGTTTGCATAGTCGAGCCTGGAGGTGATGAAGGTATGAACAAGAGTTTTAGAGGCCTGAGGGGTGAGGTAGTGGCAGAGTCGGGCGATGTTACGGAGGTGAGGGACGGCAGAGCGGGTCATGGCTTGAATGTGGGAGAGAAAAGACAGTTGAGGGTCGAACAAGACACCTAGGTTCCTGACTGGCTTGGTGAGTTGAAGTGTGCAACCATGGAGGTTGATGCTGCCAAAGCCTGAGGTGCGGAGGCGCTGGCGCGAGCCAATCAGGAGGGCCTCAGTCTTGTTCACATTCAACTGTAGGAAATTTGCCCTCATCCAGGACTTGATGTCCGACAAGCAGTCTGTCAGAACAGCAGTGGTCCTGGAGTTGAGGGTGGAGGCAGAAAGATAGAGTTGGTTGTCATCCGCATACATATGGAAGTTGACCCCATGATGTTACCAAGGCGGAGCAACATACATGGGAGCTCACACACATCAAAACAATAAAATGCTATAACTAGAATGAAACAGCTCAGTTGAGTTTTGAAGACATTTTCCAATCTCCATCAATCTCTTTTACAACTCTAAACATGGAGTGATCTGCCTATTACAATCGTGAATAATTCCACGTTTTTAACATTTAGAAAATGATTTTCCTAGAATTAAAAGAAAAAGGGTGCAGAACTGAAAACTATTTCTGAGCCAAAACAGCCAAAGTTTGGAATTTATTGATTAACATCCCGGTTTATATTCCTGTCCTAATTTAAATTCTATTCCCAAATTCAAATGAATTGGCTCCTCATCTCATTGTTAATGGAACGTATCTGGCTTAGATCATCTGCTGTGTTTGCCAAAATAAAAACATCCACTTCATTTCTAAATCATTAATATTTTGAGAGGTTTATTTTTACGTGACAGGCGTTATATAAATGAAGTTTTTTTTGCTAGATAGGTCGCAAAGATTATTTACCTGAGGCTTACTGTTGCTTTCCTAATTCTGGCTGAGATTGGGAGTTGAGGTCAGACCAAGAAACTTCCATATCTTTAATGACTATCGTGTTAGTTGCTCCGGGATGCTACCCGTGTGAAGGGTGCTATATAAATTCAAGTTGTTGTTGTTGTCAGCTAGTGCTTTAATGGACTGAATGCAAGCAACAACTGTGAAGCAGATTTCAGTTCTTACCTGTCAGAACAACCTTGCCAGAAACAAATATAAGCAGCACAATTCTTGGTTTAACCATTCTGTAAATAAGACCTGGGAACAATTCTGGTTCATAACTGGAAATAAAAAACAAGTTACATTAAGGTGTGATTGAAGCCAGAGTCTCTACATCATTGCAAAAAAATGCTCATTGCATTATCTACATACACAGAAAGTTTTGTATAGAGCCAAACATCACCTTGTTGCCAGCTTAGTAATGAGGGAACACATTATTCGGGCCAACTTTTCAATCTGTTTTCCGCATCTAAAGCTGATGGTGGCCAAAATGTTAAGCTCATTAATAAAGGCAAAATTGGCCAGTCTATTAACTGCCCTAAACTGTGCATTTCTCCTGTGTAGTAACAAAGGGATCAAGCCGGACTTTGAAGCATGGAGAGAAATGAACACCGATACTTGTTATTTCCTTCTGTATATTTTCAAAATAAATGTTTTTTTCCTCTTTCTTCTCCAAAGGTGGTGGAGAATCATATGAATCTCTATGATTCCCCAATCATAGAGGCATAGCTTGCCAACACTTACTGCTCAGGCTCATATGGGAAGAATGGCCACTTGGGTAAAAAGCTCAAAGAACTGCCAGTGCCTGTGGAACTGTACCACAGCATGAACCACCATCTTCAGGAGAGGGAAGGGACTTTATGGGTTGGATTGCCATTTTGTGAATAGCAACATCTCATTTAAAATAGACTATATATTTTGTTTTTAAAAAATCACATCTCTAGATCCCACACGGTCACAACATCCGAGACTTGGGAAGTCGGCTAAACTTTGCCCAGGGAAGATTCAGCTTGATGGACTGAATCCCAGCCATTAGCTGTGGTGCTTCCAGGAGTTGCTGGTTACTGCAAACACCTCCACAACATACGTTACATTTCACAGTATGTCCTGTCATGCGTTTTGAGACATCCTCTCAACGTGTAAGGCGCTACATCGAAAGCAAGGATACTATTGCAGCAAAGGTCCAGCCCGTTGGGTGCAGAGTCAACAGTCTTAACATTGTGGTGGCTGCAAGAAGCTGCTAAACAGGAGAATGAAACCTTTAGGGTTTACTGTGTAATACTCTCACAAAAGGAGAGTCAGCAAATGAAATGAGGTAGCTCAGCTCACCAGCAATCCTGTGATGCACAATGTTCTTCTATTAATATAGGTTGTGCAACATCTTACACCTTGACGGAGCAAAAAGGCAGACAATAACCTATGCATTTGATATAGCGCCTTAGTTATCACATCATCAAGATGGCTCAAGTAATACCTCAGCTAAATATAGCACCTCCAACAAAACGGCACACCCTCAGAATTGCATAAGATTGTCTAGTGAGTTCAAAGTCCCAATGTGGGGTTTCCACTCGTAATCTAGACACTACTGTGCAGTGCTGAGGAAGAACTATGACTCAGAGGCAAGAGTGTTACCAACTGAGACAGGATGAAAACGAAGATGTGAAAACTTGCTCCTTAGTATATATTATTGTTAAAATATCAGACATTTTATAAGGAAGCTGGCAGACTGAGGTATTCCCTACCTGCTAAACTGTTGGTGAGTGAGAACCAGCCCTTCTAGCCTGATGGGAAACTTCACATCGCAACTTCCAACCATGTTCTGGATTTTAAATTCGAGAAACTTGGCCGGAAATCCCAATTTCTGGACCACACGTGCGTACTTCCTAGCTGCCAATCGAGACTGCTCTTCACTAATGAGAAAGTAGAAACAAAACCATTTTGATTCAGTTAAGCCAAGATCCTAGACAGAGGTCACATCGAGTTACAGGAAGAAAACAATGGTATATTGTCAAGAATGTCAGGCCAAATGACCCCTGGTTCCTCTTTACCTTTTGGCTCCAGTGCAGACCATCTTTCCTGAACTGAAAATCAGTGCTGTGGTCCTGGGCTCCCGGATACGCATAATCACTGCAGCAAAACGCTATTAAATGCAAAACAGATTTCAGCAATTAAAATATAATAATAATCCTTGCATTTGATATAGCGCCTTATCGTATCATTGAGATGTCTCAAATCGCTTCACAGGATATAGTGAAAAGTGGATTTACTGTGTATTTTGTGTGCGTAACGCGGCAGCCAATTGCAGCAATGTCAATGTCACACAAACAGTCGTGCATTGAGAGATCAATTTTTTTTGAGGGACTATTATCCCTGGAAAACAATCTGCGAATTGACGAACAACTGGGTTCCTACTTACTGCCAAGTAAACAGAGATGTGTAGAGTAAGGAAACTTGCCTATGATTTCAATTATATATTAGTTTTGACTATTATATTATACCAACCAAACACAGAGGTTACTCTTAATTTACAGAAACCAAAGTTATCGGTTCTATAGCTGCACCAAGAGGAATAATGTTTGAAGTCCTGTGTCAGCCTGGCTCAGCTGGTAACACTCTGAGTCTACCTCTGGCTCAGAAGATTGTAGACTCAAGCCCTACATTGGGATTTGAATTCAATTTGAGTCTAGGCTGGCACTGCAGTGCATTGCTGTGGAGCACGGCATTGTTGGAGTTGCTATCCTTTGGATGATATGTTAATCTGAGGTCCCGTCTGCCTGTTCAAGGGAAGGAAGTTTCCCGTGGTGTCACTTCATAGCCGTTTCTGGAGAATTGCTGCATGCAAATTTACTGCCACACTTGCCTACAAACACACAGGCCCTGTACTTCACAGAAATTTGCAGTGAAGTTCCTTGGGATGTTTTGAAATTAAAGAAGCTATATCAAACGCACAATTTTTTTCACTAGAATATTTACCAATATTAAAAAATACGAAATATTTAAAGCTGGAGGCTTGAAGCGCAAGATTGGGCAGGGCAGTGGGATTGAAAATGCAGCTTCCTCTGAGTGCTAGTGGAGACTGGATGAAAGGCATCCTTCTGCTCTGTAAATTTCTATAATTCAAGGCAAACTGCAGTTCTATTTGTAAGGCGGTTCAGGAGGGTGTACTATTATTTAAGGGCACCAGGTGGCGCTGCAGATCACATACAATATGAAATTCACAAGTTTATCTATGAATTAAAAATCCTACAGTGTTAGGCAGCTTAAGGCTGTTACCTTTGGGTTGTATTCTGCATTTCTTGCTTGCAGAGCTATTCTTTTCAAGTCCAACCTGCAGGCCAGGTTAACAGTGGAGACTATGTTCCTGTGAAGAAAAGCATTTGTATTATATTATATATAATTTGTGATCTTCCAATAAAATCTGCCTTCAGTTCCCCCACCCCCCAATAGATATGTTTGATGAACAACAATACAAAGTTTTGAGGTTAGGCTGTTTGATGGCCACCTCCCCAACCTAAGGACTAAAAGCAAGGAATAGAATTTAATTCAAAGCAGTTCTGGAAATATACAACTCACAAGAACAAGTGGTAGAAAATCAGTGATTTCTAAAACGCTAAATAGTTTCTCAAACTCATTTTTAAAAAATCTCCACAGATAAATGAAAGATCCTGCTGCTAGAGATTATTTTTAAAAAAAAGATCAGCTCAAAAGGTGGCTGGAGTCTTGGAAGAAAGGAATGAGGAACACAAGGAGTGAGGAGTGAGCAATATGGAACAATTGGAAGAGCGATATGTATAATAATAATAATAATGCTTACAAAACAAAACAGCTGCATTTGAAACAGCTAATACTGCTTGCATTTGATATAGTGCCTTTTCACATTGTTGAGACATCTCAAAGTGCTTCACAGAAAATACTGGAAAGTAAATTGACTGTATATTTTGTGGGTGAAAGCCATAGCCAATTGCGCACAGCAGTGTCCCACAAACAGTCGTGGATTGAATGACCAATCTTTTTTTGAGGAATTATTATCTCTCGAAAGCATATGCTAATTGATCAACAATTGGGTTCCTACTTACTGCTTAGTAAATAGGGGCAAGTGGAGTAAGGAAACCCGCCCAAAACTTTGCCCAGTCCAGGAATAGGCAGGGTAACAGGACCAGAAAAGATTGAACAGCCCAGATGGAGGGGATGAAAGGAGTTTGTACCTGGTTCCTAAGTGAGTAGAGCCACCTCGCAACATCTCTCCTGACTGGCAATCTTTCTCAGAGAAATTCTCAAATCCCCTGATGGAGCTATCAATTTCAGTACTCTCTCGGTTTTACTCCCCCGCCCCATGCCCTTTGATATTGCATCTCTTCAAATGCTGATCAAAAGCTTCCTGATAGCAAAGATTATGCAGAATCCTGTTAAGTTATTCCATTCAGTCTTAGTTTGGAAACTGGTCGTCCACATCTCTTTTTGGGGGCAAGATTACAACAGCCACCACATGTCAAAAGCAAATGTGCATTTTGTCCAAATTTATTGCTGCAAGAGGCCGCACAGGAAGTGAAACAATGATCCATTGTTAAAGCTACTCTATAATAGAGTAACAGTAAAAAGTATTCCTTCCCGTTTCCTTTATGTTTTTGGAAAAAGGATCACTCGTGAAGTATCTTTTTAAAATTGCTTCTTTGAAAACATGCAACAGGACACTAAGTCCCTTAAATTGAGAATCGGGAAAATGCCCAGTTATTCCACATTTCACATACCTAGTAAACTTTAAGCTCTCTGAAACACTACCCCGGTGTGAAGGGTGCTATATAAATGCAAGTTGTTGTTGTTTAAGCATATTATGTTGTGGAGTCTGTTTGGCTCAGTGAGAAAATAATAATAATCCTTGCATTCGATATAGTGCTTCATCACGTCGTCGAGATGTCTCAAAGCGCTTGGATTTACCGTAAAATGGATAGACTGTTATCTTATAGGTGAAACATTGTCAGCTTGACTCAATAATCTTGTCGAGCATTCGTGTCTCTGGGTCAGAAGGATGTGAATTCAAGCCTCATGATAGGAATTGAATTCACATCCGAGGCTGACATTCCAGTGCAATGTTAGGGGCAGGGGCTGCTCTATCAGAGACGCTTCCTTCAGATAAAACCTTAAGCCAGGGTGGTCCAACCTTTTGCCTGCTGAGGGCCAGATGCCCTTAAGATAAGACACCTGTCAAATAAAACGTGACTTACTGTAACTGGGGATATATCCCGGAGCTCTCTACAGGAGTCATGGGTTTGACAGGGGTCATAGGGAACAATGGAGTTGGGCAAACTGAGGATGGATCATCGAGACCCGAGGTGTCACTCGGGTCAGTTAAAGACAGGTACGAGTATGACTGGGTGTCGTCTCCCGCTCCCATTGTGCCCACAATATTGTTGTTATAGTCTCCCACGTGCAGGTCACTCTGTTCCAGGGTTTGACTCTGAAAGCCCGAGTCCTCGTCCTGCTGATCCGGGTCATCGCTGAGGAAACTGAGATCAGCCGAGGTCAGCTCGGTCTTCAGCTCCCCGAGGGAATCGAGGTGAGATGTATAGCAATGTTCCTGAATTGGCAGGTCTGAGTCAAAAGGAAGCATGGGGCTGTAGATTTGGGGAGTGTCTGTGGTGAGATTATCCTGAAACAAAAGACATTGAAATAGTGATTTACAAGTTTCTGCACATCTCTTAAATATTTCCTTCTACCTACGCAGCATTTCATATTACATGCAAGTCATCTGCACACAAATTTAATCAATTTATTCCAAACCATCACTTTTTGGATTGAATCATTGTTTATGCCTGTCTGCCCTGTGATTCAGTGGCTGCAAAGAGATACCGCCTGTGCCTGTTCAGACGGATGTTAAGATCTTATGGCCTGGCCAACAATCCCCTTGATAAAATGGAGCATTCTTCAATCTTGGATCAGCACTCTGAGACGCTCCCCTGCGTGAAGGACGCTATTTAAATGCAAGCTGCTGCTGTTTGTGGAACATTGCTGTGTGCAAATTGGCTCCCGTGTTTGCCCACAAATATGCTACACTTTATGGTAAAATCCCACGAAGCAATTGTAGGCGTCTTCTTGACGTGAAAGGTGCTATATCAAACGGAAGGATTTTTTCAAAATGTATTAATGTTGACATTCTTGTACCTACCTCACAGAATCATTTTCATTCCTTGAGTGGAACACATCCTCTACACAAACCAGTACAGTAATATTCTGTGAAGCACTTGAGACATCTCAACGACATGATAAGGTGCTATATCAAATGCAAGGATTATTATTAATGCTTAGGTAGTCAACAAGTCATTGCTCTTTTGAAACACTCCAGGAAGATATATCTAGTCCTGAGGCACCACTTTTTTAGAAACCCATATTTTGGTGCTTTAATATACACAAAAAAAACTGTTCAGTTACTGACAGCCCCTCAATCATACCCATCATTTCCAGGTCTAAGCAGGTGAGAGACAGTGAACATACATCTCAATGCTGAACCAAATATTTCACCTTCCTATTAACAAGAGTAGGTAGCAATTGCCAGCGAATTTATCACCTGGTGTCTATTAAGAGAACATCAACATCTATTAAGTAGAGGCAGAAAGAACGTGAGTTGGCTTGAACAAACTCACTCCCCTAAAAATGTACTTAAAAAAAGGCAAACGCTGTGGATAAAACATGTGTGACAATCTTGAGCACTTGCGTCTTAATAACTAATTACTTAATAATGAAATGTCCTTTAATAAATCCACAGTGTTACACTACCTGCCCAACGCTTATTCAAGTGTGAAAAAAATCCACAATTCTGGAGCAGGATGTACTATCTTGAACCACTGCTGTCATTTTCCAATAGGCAACATCTTAAAAAAGCTGTCAGAAATTTTTCCCCAAAGTTGCAATAATGACATTTGACATAGTTCAAAACGTGGCGAGTGTTTTATGGATTAATCCACTGTACGAAAGCGAGGAGTGAGGGTTAAGTGATATGATCTTCACCTCTGCAGGTCTGGTTGGTCAGGGTGAAACCCAAGTGGGAAAAAGAAGACAGACAGACAGACTGATCAACTTTTTCAGATGATAGGAGAAATATCGCCTCTCGTCTTAACCCTCAACTATTCTCTCGCCTCATCAATACTGTTCTCCCACCATGTCTAAGTCGATAGATTTAATTTCATTACATTAAATATTTTGTTTTGTTTTTTTCATTTCAATTTCATTTCTGTTTTCCAGCAGTTGTAATTACTTTTAATCGATGGCTTGCCTCTTAACGGGGTTTGTAGGTTAGGAATTTCACTCCAATCTCACTTGAAATGGACAAACTACATCTTATCTTCACCCCGAGGCCAACTGAGCCAATCCACTGGATCCTAAAGTTTGATGTACAGTGTTCCAGTTTGGGTCAATGGCATCATTTGGTAAAGGTCTGTATCCTACAGCAGAGTTAAAAAATCTGCTCCAAGACAGATAGATATCCAGCCTTCAGTAACACAGTGCAACACAGCAATCGATCAGCTTCATTTAGAAATTCAGTCATTTCTTAGCTCTTGCAGGATTACAAAAGAAGTGCTATATTTCTTTTTTTTTTGGGTGGGGGGTCCTTATAACAAAATAGACTAGGGATCACCTTACCCCTTTGTCTCTCAACCCCTTCCCCATTCCCACCGACCCACAGCCACTGAATGATTCCACTTACATCTTCAACCGACTGATCAAAATAACTTTCCAACGTCGGCTCCATGAGCATCTCTCTGGGTATTTTTTTTAAAAAATTCCTGCAAAAAGTAAATAAAGGCTTTTGCCTAAAGCATATCTTGTGGCAGAAAGAGTTGGTGTGAGGATTGCAGAGTATCCTCATGTGTTAGGTGTTAGTCTGAGTTAAGTTAGAGCCCCAACACCCCCTTTGCAAAAACGTGCAGTGGAGGGTGTGTTTTTTTTTGGAAGGGGTGGGGGGGGGTAAGTCTGATTGCATGTTCTGGGAGAAATCCCAGGGAATCTCTCTATTTTGCTGAGTCAGCATTTGTGTGGAGCAAAAGAGGTACGTTCAGCCCCAGACGTCGTGCTTTTTACTGCTTAAAAACGATTGAAAGAGTCAAACGGAGCAGGGAATTGCAGGCGTCTTTTTTTTAAAAAAAAACAGACGATATAAACGTATTTAAAGGGCTCTGGGTGATGGGGTGCTGCACAAATGCAAGTTTTTGTTTGTTTGCAATTTGCTTGCCAGCACTCAAGCAGACTTTGCTCTGGATGTTGTGAGTGTTACTGAGATAATGGTGTTATATAATGAGTCCTATTGTGGGGAATGGCTGGCTCTGGATGATACCAAGTGTGGTTGGCCAAAGCATCTGTGTTTTGTTACTTGCCTGTTGGATTTGGCACAGCAGCAACAACAACAACAGCAACAACAAGATTCCATTTATCGAGCGCCTTTCACGTCGGGAGGACGTCCCAAGGCGCTGGACAGTTGGGTCAGGACCCGACAGTGTCACTGTCACAGAATACATTTGACCGCCAGCGAATTCAGTGAAGTGTGTGAGCATGAAGGTTGATTTCAGTTTGTTGAATCCTTGTTTGACTTCTTCATTTTATCGGTTCAATGTTTTGGAAATGCAGTAGCAGTAATAATAAATAATAATCCTTGTGTTACGTGAATGTTGCATCTTAATTTGATTACGCGCAAGGAAGCATTCAGGGTCATAGATTCTCATGGCTTCTAAAGGTGCATCTTCAAAGCGTTGGAGCAAGCTTGCAATTGGGTGCATCTTAATGGAAGACTGAACAGAAAATCTGTTTATCTCAGTCAAAATGGTTTTCTTAAAGCATATGTTTTGCCTAAAGCAGACCTTGTGTTGGAAAGTTCAGGCTTTGGTGTAAGGAGGCTTCTCTCTCTTTGAGGTGTGTCTTGTATATATAAGAGATGTGTTGAAAAACAGCTCCCTGAAGGAAGTAAAGTTGATTGACAGGTATTTCTGGAAGTCAAACACAAACATCTTGTCATTGAGAGTCAAGGGCTTGTATTGCTATAATTCAACTCTCTCTCTCTCTCTTCCTCTTGTACCCCAGCTCCTGTTTTGCCTACAAGTTTAAAACAAGTGAGTGAATAAAAAAATAGGGAATGGTCAGAATTATCTCACAGAAGGAAATTTGGGGCCAGTTGGCAGCGAGAGAGAGAGAGAGATGTAGGATTTGTGTCTACACTTCTCCCATACTAGAGATGTCCTGATTTTGGCTGCCCTGCCTTCCTGTTAAGACGGAGAACCTGCAAAGCTGTTTCACTTTTCAGATGAACGACTCCAAGATAGTTTTAAAATAATATTGCGATGCCTGTTGCTTAGAAATGTTTTTGCTTTTGATTTCCTTGGTTGAAATTTCTCCAAGTGTTTTTTTACATTTTAGTCTGAAGAATTGGAAGAAGTTAGAGAATTGGACGGGAGCGACTTGTGAATTTTATTGCCAACATAAAAAGACATAAACCCCAAATTCTCTGTGGAAATGTTCACACCACAACTGGTGAGGATGCAAACTGGCTTCGGGTCAGGTCATCTTTCTGCAGATGTGTTATCTGAACTTAGTTTGTTTGGGGGAAGGGAGTGTGGAAGTTTAAACCACTGCAAATTTCAGACTGGATCTGGCCAACACACAGCAGCAAATGTTTTGGAAATACTGGGAAGTATTTGTTTATCAGTAATCTCCTGCAATTTGTTTTAATGGAAAAGGTAGACTTTCCTTATAAGGACAGTTCTACATTAACAACAACTTGCACTTATATAGCGCCCTCCACGGAGGGTAGCATCTCAGAGTGCTTAACAGTGGCGGAGCCTGACTCCGAGCTGGGAGTGGAGGGTGGTGGGAGGTGACCAAAAAGGACACAATTGGAAAGGAAGATTTTCAGGCAGGACTTGAAAAAGGGGAAAGAGGAGGCAAGGCAAGAGCAAGAGTGTTCCAGAGTTTCGGAGAGTAGTGGCTGAATGCGTGACCTCCAGTGGCGGAGCAAAGGGTGCAAGGGATAATCAGGAAATGTAACTTTAATCACACTCTACAGTGGAATCGAATAATAATAATTGTTGCTTTGGATACAGCGCCTTATCATGTTGTTAAGACTGCGTCACAGAATATATTGTAAAGTGGATTGACTGTGGTTGGGACACATCAGCCAATTGTGCACAGCAGTGAAATCTTATTTATAGTACTTTATATCTTGCAGTTGAGTCAGTTTAGAACATTTGTACAATTGTCACCATTTAAATGTTTTCCTTTTTCACCAGTGGTAACCATAACTTGCAGTAGATGTTAGTTGGGTGCTGCAGTATTTGACAACTTGCGGTAAATTCCTAATGATTAAAGGGTTTTTGGTCTCAGAACCAGAGGCATATCTTGTTCAACCAGACAACAAATGTGTTCTGAGTATAGGGCGGATTCCTAATGCCTGGGGCTGTAACCAGGTGTATAATTCAGGCTTGACGATACACATCGCTTCAGATTTTGGAAATGTGTTAGTTGCTTCCAGAGTGATTGTTTTCCTAGTTGCTGTTGGTGAACATTGTCTAGAAAACATCTTTCTGTTGCTTGACTGTAGTGACTTGTTCTTCCACCCCCACTGGACGCTGTTTCTTGTGTTTGGTGTGGTTATCAATCATTTAGCTCCATGGAATCTTCAACATCTATGTGAATAGGCCTAAGGGACCTCAGTTTAATGTCTCATTGCTGTGCGCACGTAGCACAACAGTGAGACATCCGCTCACAAAACATATAATGACTGCCCTTTGAAATATTTCGTGTGAAGCGCTTTGGGCCATTCTCCTGGTGAAGGGCAGCATACCAAATGTATTGTTATTTTAGCTAAAGGTGGCACTTCGAACGATGCAGTGCTTCCCCATCACTGTAGTGGAGTATCAGCCTAGACTGTGAGTTCATATTCTCAAAGTGGGGCTTGAACCCACAACCACCTGAATTAGAGGGGCCACTATTATCAACTGAGCCAGGCTGACAGCTCGATTGACACAGCCTCTGCTAATCACACTTTTAAGAATTAGATTCCATAGGCGCAGTTTGTGTACAGTAGTAGTACCCACCAACTGCATTGCATGAATCAATTTTATCAGGTAAATTAACCACAAATAGAGCAGCTCTCTGTTGTGGCCAAAACATAAGTAATCAGCTAGGATGATTCACTAGGTTGGTACCTGGGATGAGGGGGATGCGTTATGAGGATAGGTTGAGCAATTTAGGCCTATATTCTCTAGAATATAGAAGAATGAGAGGTGATCTTATAGAAACCTATAAAATTATTAAGGGGCATGACAGAATAGATAGTGGGAGACTTTTTCCCCTGGTTGGAGGAACTATAACCAGGGGTTACAGTCTTAAAATTAGGGGTAAGCCCTTTCACACTGAGTTGAGGAAAAACTTCTTCTTCACTCAGAGGGTAACGAATTTATGGAATTCTCTACCCCAAAGGGCTGTAGATGCTCAGTCCTTGAACATATTCAAGACTAAGATTGATAGATTTCCTGTGGATTAAGGGATATGCGGATAAGGTGGGTAGGTGGAGTTAGAATAGATCAGCCATGAGTGTAGGCAAACATTTGCGCACAGCAACATCCCACAGAAAGAAAAGGAAGAGAGGGGGAGAGAGAGAGAGAGAGGTTGGGGGAAAGAGAGAAGGAAGGGTGGTGGGCTGGGTGGGGGAGAGTGAGTATATTGTGTAGAGTACATTTATATAGCGTGTACATTGTATACTTGGCACCCCATCCCTTTCAATAAATTACAGAGGTGTGGGAAAAGGGCAAGTAAATGGAACTGAAAGGATTGCTCCTAAAAGAGCCAGCACAGACACACTGGGCCGAATGGTGTTCTTCTTTGCTGTAATTGTCTATGCTTCTATCTGATTTAAACTGCATCGCAGAGACATTGCAGAGACCATTGTAAGGCATGGGATCTTTCCATTGTACTTGGCCAAAGGTGGAGGTGTAATGCATTTTAGTTTGGTAGCTTGCGAGAGACCAGGGTTCGATTCCCGGCAGGGCGAAATGTTGGGCACGTTTCCTTACTCCACATGCCTCTGTTTACCTAGCAGTAAGTAGGAACCCAGTTGTTAGTTGATTGGCGGATTGCTTTTCAAGGGGTAATCCCTTTTAAAAAAATAAGTTGGTCACTTCAATCCACGATTGTTTGTGGGACACTGCCTCTCTGCAATTGGCAGCTGCGTTTCGCCCACAAAATATACAGTCAATTCACTTTACAGTATATTTCCAGAACTCTGCAGCCCATCTCCTCTCCCGCACCAAACTCCGTGACCCCAGCTCCTCCACTCTCGCCAGACTTCATTGGCTCCCAGAGGATCCAGTTCAAGATCCTGGTCCTCGCGTACAAAGTCCTCCATAGCCTCGCCCCACCCTACCTTTGCGACCTGCTAACGCCCTACCAACCCGCCCGTTCCCTCTGCTCAGCCGGCTCTGGCCTGCTCCACGTCCCCCGACCCACCCGCCCTACCATTGGCAGGAGAGCCTTCAGCCACTCTGCCCCCAACCTCTGGAATTCCATCCTCCAGTCACTCCGCCTCGCCCCCTCCTTCTCCTTCTGGTCCCACTTCAAGACCCTCCTCTTCGACCATACCATCGGTCACCCCCCTTCTGCTCCCCTCCCTTCCCCCCCCCCCCCCCCAACCGACCCCAGCTCGGGTCTGAAATGCTGTACTCTGTCCAGCGCCTTGAGATGTCCTCCCGACGTGAAAGGCGCTATACAAATGTAATCTTGTTGTTGTATATTCTGTGAAGCACTTTGAGACATCTCAAAGACATGATAAGGCGCTATATCAAATGCAAGGATTATTATTAACAAGTACCAGATTTCTAGATAAACCTTGAAGCCAAGTAATTATGAACTTTGTGCCCTTTTAACCATACTCAGCATTTTAACCAACAAAGCATCCTGGTGGAAGTGGTACAGTAGTACTAAGAATACTACTGACTAAATATCACCAGGGATAGTAGAAAGTAATCATAATCCTTACATTTGATATAGTGCCTTTCACTTTGGGAGAATGTCTCAAAGTGGTTCACAGGATGCATTGTAAAGTGGAGTGACTGTTTTTTGTAGAATTTGACCACAAAAAAATACACAAATAGGAAGAACATTCTGAAAGTGTTTCACAATTGATTACCGTCAAGTGTAGTGATTGTTTTTGTAAGAACATGCAGCGGTTCATTTGCATTAACAATGTCTCACTTACAACCACAAGGTGAATGATTAATCCTTAGGGTTATTAACTCTTGTAACACCAGATAGTGCTCTTTCTTTCAAAAGAAAGAGATGTTTGATGTGTTGCTTTTCACTCAAATTGAAGCAGTTGACTCCAGGGATTTTGTTTTGCAGACAGGAGGCCAATTGAGAAATATTTTCATTGTTTGGAATCAAATCTGACTCACCTATGTCAGAAACAATGTGGTTCAATCTGACTTCAAATCAAAGAGGCTGCCCACATCTCAGTATTAAAGTTATTACCCCCATACTTTACTAATTTTTAATCCTTGCTAGTTACCTTGAATTTTGTATTTTTAAGGGGAAAAAATGCCCAATGAACTTTTAAGCGCACTACATGCATACCAGGTGTACGGCACTGCACAATAAATCAAGCAGATACGTGTCCAATGGAAAGCTGTCTATACTTGTTTGCACTGAAACACGCAGTACCACCCAACTGGAGAATTAACCCGAGCCACATTCCTGTTAAGAGCTTCATACAATTAACAGTGGGATTAAAGGGAACTTGTAACAGAAAGATGCATTTTCTGTCAACAACCCCCCACCCAGCCCCCTCAATTCTAAAATACTTATTTAATTTTAACTGCTTTCTTGTTCACCTAGTTATGCAACATTGGAAGTTCAGTTGCTACGTCTGACATCCAGATAACATTACTGTAACGTCTAGAAAGATTAGGTAGCGTGATGGGGGAGAGGAGGGCCTTAGAAAATCTTAGCTGGGTTTCTGCAGGATTGACTGAAGATGGGTCATCCTTGGCTACACGTGAATGAACTCAATGTTGTACATTGCACAGAAAGAATATCGATTTTGAATTCTGTTTTTTTCCAGTTAAGATTATTAGTCCTACATCAGAATCCTATAGCTCAGTGGTTAGAGCACTCGCCTTGCAAGTGAGAAACCTGGGTTCAATTCCCAACAGGGCAAAACCTTGGGCAAGTTTCTTTATTCCACACGCCTGATAATAATCCTTCAAAAAACAAATAATAGAATTGGTCATTTCAATCCACGACTGTTTGTGGGACACTGCTGTGTGCAATTGGCTGCTGCATTTCGCCCACAAATATACAGTCAATTCACTTACAGTATATTCTGTGAAGCGCTTTGAGACGTCTCGAAGACGTGCAAAAAGTGCTATATCAAATGCAAGGATTATTATTATGTTGTTGGGGAAAGGAAGGGGATGCAGTTGAGCAAGGCGTCGGGCCTTGCTGTTCACATTGAGTAAGGGTGCCCTTTGCTCCGTTTGAGTAATAACAATCCTTGCATTTGATATCGTGCCTTATTAAATCCCATACGTGTCTCTCTGTGTGTGCGCGCGCGCGCGCGTGTGTGTGTGTGTGTGTTATGTGGAGGGCCACTGCGCCGACTGAAATTTCGGTGGCTGGAGTGTGCTTTAATGACGTTCCCCTTTAAGGGGGCGGACCCTTTGCCCCCCCGCGCGGTGAGTGGGTGAGGAGGGGGCGGGGCCCGGCGCTGATTGGCGGCCTCGCGTTGTCAAAGAAGGCGGACGTCAGCGCGGCCTCGCGCCGCTCAGTGTCATCGCCGCCGCCTCGGAGCCGCTTCCCTTCCCCTCTCCTCTCCTCCCGCAGGTCAGTCAGTCAGTCAGTCACACACACACACACAGCCCCGGCGCGGCCCGGGAGACGGCCCCGGACAACTCATTGCCGGTCGCCATTCCTCCCGACTGCCCGCGTATATGTGAGTGAGTGAGTGAGTGAGTGTGTGATGCCGGGCCCGGGGGGGGAGGGGGGGAGGGGATAGGCTTCGGAACGGTCTCTTTAAACGCCCCTCTCCGCCCCTCACACACCACAGCCTTTCTCCCTCGTCCCTCAATTCCTACACTCCCCTCCACCCCCCATTCCCTCCCTCTCCCCCCCCCTTCCCTCTCCCCCATTCCCTCTCCCCCTCCCTCTCCCCCCCATTCCCTCCCGCTCCCCCCTTCCCTCTCCCCCCCCTTCCCTCCCTCTCCCCCCTTCCCTCTCCCCCCCCATTCCCTCTCCCCCCCTTCCCTCTCCCCCCCATTCCCTCCTCTCCCCCCCATTCCCTCTCCCCCCTCCCTCTCCCTCCCCATTCCTCTCCCCTCCCCATTCCCTCCCCCCTTCCCTCTCCCCCCCATTCCCTCTCCCCCCCATTCCCTCTTCCCCCCCCATTCCCTCTCCCCCCCATTCTCTCCCCTCTCCCCCCCCCATTCCCTCTCTCCCCCCCATTCCCTCTCCCCCATTCCCTCCCCCCCATTCCCTCCCTCCCCCCCTTCCCTCCCCCCCCATTCCCTCCCCCTCCCCATTCCTCTCCCCTCCCATTCCCTCTCCCCCCCCATTCCCTCTTCCCCCCATTCCCCTCTCCCCCCATTCCCTCTCCCCCACCATTCCCTCTCCCCCATTTCCTCTCCCTCATTCCCTCTTCCTCATTCCCTCTCCCCCCCCATTCCCTCTCCCCCCCCATTCCCTCTCCCCCCCCCATTCCCTCTCTCCCCATTCCTCTCTCCCATTCTCCTCCCCCATTCCTCTCCCTCATTCCCTTCCCCCCCCCTCATTCCCTCTTCCCCCCCCCCATTCCCTCTCCCCCCCCCTCATTCCCTCCCATATGAGTGTTGTACGTGAAGGGCCGCCGTGTGCGCGCGCCTCATTGCCTTCGGGGACCGGCTTCCTCTTCCTATCCCTCTCCTTCCTCCTCGCCTCCCCTCCCCCCCTCCCCTCCCGGGTCCCGAAGGCGCTGAGCCCGACCCCGCCCCCCTCCTGGCTGTCTTGTTCCTGTGCTGTTTCTCTGTGCCCCCCCCCCTCCCCCCAGTGTGATCCGGACAGGAGGGGCAGCAGGAATGGCATCTTCTGCTGCTTTACCCAGAAACGTGGGCTTTGCTCCTTCTGCCACTCCTTGTCCCTCCTCAGGGGCAGCAGCAGCACTGCCCCTGTGCAGTTGCAGTAATTTGTCAGAGCCTTTCTTTATCGTCGCTGCTTTTTCCTCCTCGCCCAGTTTTGTTGCAGTACAGTATTTGACTTAAGCACTTCAACGCAAACAACGGGGGCTTTTGCTACACATTAAGGGTGAAGATTTGCGAAGCTGTCTTTATTGTTGCACTACTGTAATTTCAGTCTGTTCCCCCTCTTCTCTACACGCCCCCCCCCCCCCCCCTCCACCACCACCCCATCTATTTTCTGGTCAATTTTACTTGAGCTTTGAGTTTCAGAATATTAAGTGTTTTCTTTTTAAAAAAATAATTGTTTAAAGTAGGCTACACCCTCACCTAATGATTGATGGTTGCTGTAGTCTGGGTGGTGTTGCTGTACACCAGAGAGGTAGTGTTAATGCATATTTATATAGATCATGTGCAATAATGTCCATACAAGTGTAAGTAATATGATTTATTATAGTATATAGTAAGTGAATGGCTTTAGGGAGTATCATGCAATTTGTGTCAGCACATGTCGAACAATGGTAGTGCAGTATATGCAGGTATTTTAGTTCAGCTTTCTTAAGCGTTTGTTCTCCAGATGGCTGCAGCTTTCTACGTGAGGATATTGCGTACAAGCTGATAACTGTGTAGTATACGGTTTTGCAGGGAAGACCCTGGAGACTTCACTACTTAACGCTTTTCTTTCCATAGTTCTTGACCCCAGTTTGTTCACAATTAAAAGTACTTTTTGAATTTCCATTGTTTTCTGAGGAGAATGAAATGAAGGAAGGATTGCAGTTTTGCTTTGTTAATGAAGCTTTTTTATCATTGGGATGTAACAATTTTTAGCTGAAAAATATTAGTCTGACAATGTAAATTTTTTTCCAAGTGCTTCCTTTTTATTGGTGCCTATCTACTATCATTCTTTACGTTTAATCCTCTGCATTAAGCCAAGATTGGTCACTGAAAGTCATGGCTATTTTCGGAGAGGCATTTGCTAAGGCAATAGCTTCAACTATAATAAGATGAGAACATATACGTTAATATCTTACTGTATTTGGTGTGGATGTACTTGACATGAAAATGTTGCACTGTGCCTACGATTTAATCGTCCTGTGTTCCAAATGCTCTCATCAGATACTGAAGAGTTGCCTATAATCAGTGTCAAGTTGATTGGTTTTTTGAATCTTTCAGTGCTTTTGAATCCTTAGAAAGTAGATAGCAGTTTGTGTATCTGTCAGTGAGCCTTGTTTCAAACAAAAATGCATTAAAAACTAAAATATTTAACCATCAACTGTAAATGTTGACACACAGTGGTGCTACATGTGGCTGTCATATACTGGTGTGTCAGGTGACAATTATTCAGATTTCAGCTCTTGATGGTGAATTTTGACAAACATCTGTGGAGAGCATCAGTTGAACCTAATCCTATTATCTATGTAGCAAGGTCCTTTTTTTAATTTTCCCTTTTCTCTCTTCCCCCTGCGCACACTTGTAATGACTGAAACCAGTTAACTCGAAAAAGGTGGATATTGAGCCTGGGCCTTTCCTGCCTTTAGGGGTTATTGCTCTGCTGGGTGGATTCTTTTTACTGGTCCATTGGGGACCCCTTTGAACATCTGTTTACTTTGTAAAATGGTAATGCTCATGCCTGTGGCACTCGTATGTGTGGTGTATGAAGTGTGTGCTACAGTGAATGAGTGTCTTTTCTCAGCTGTTTTGAAACAGAACTGACTGGGGGAAGGTAATAAAGTGCAGTTAGCTTATTTTACAGAAATGTTAGTGAAGGCTATAGAAATGTTTTCCATGTGTTTGATTTATGGAAAAAGGAGAGAAAATAAGGCTCTTCGTTGTTTGTTTTAGCCTTGAAGGGATTTTAGAATGCATTGTGCTGTGTATTTGATGAAATTAATAAGCGACCGTAGTTATTTTTGTCACTACAGTACATTTAGAGATTCCAGACCAATGACTATAGTATGAGTTTGAGGATATATGACCTGAAGTAATCAAATATGATTGTTAATGTCTAATGAGCAATAGAATGACTAATGGGGTGAAATGCTTTCCAAATCATTGTGGAAGATCAAAGCTTTTTGAGGGATGTATGAAAGTTTATTAAATTTGTTCCATGTAGCAGTAAAAAAAAAGAGACAAGTTTAATGTTGGGGATATGTTTCTTTAAATCAGTGTTTCCATTGTTCCTTATGTCCCTCCCTATTTATTTCCTTTCCTTATTATTCTCTACTGATATTAGTGGCTGGCTTCCAGGCCACAACTAGAGCTATGTTTGCTTAGTCAGATCTAGCCAGGTGGAGAGAGTCAATCCCTTTTCTCTCAGGTATTTCTCTGCAGCAAATTGGTGAAAGCAGAACTTGAAAGGCTAGGAATCTAACCTATTCTCTACCTCCTTCCCTAACTCTTGATGTTACACTGATCATCCCATTTTTTGTGCTGAACCTACAATTTTGTAGTGATCTACCAGAGATTAATGAAGGAATCTAGTTTTGAATGCTACAAATGTATGCGATTCTCAAGGACATGGAGTGCATAGACAGCTGCTACTAAGGCAAAAACTTAACCAAAAATAGATTGAGTAAATTTGAAGCATTAAAATGAATAATTGCTGGTGCCTGCATGATTACAATCTAATCTCTGGGTTCAGATAATGGGTATAAACTCTAGAAACTCCACTCTTGTACTTTTTGATCTTGTGTGAACCCCTCGATTGGTACTGCCTGGTAATGTACAGGCACCTTATTTTGCATTTACTCTTTTGTAAATGAATAATTGTTTGGGCAATGTTTGGCCTGCTGATCTTATATATTAATGACCTTGATTGACAGACCCAGTGTAAGATCATTACATTTACGGATGACACCAAGTTGGGGAGGAACTGTGGAATCAAAGGAGGCAGCAAAGGTGCTACAAAGTGAACTTAATAGGTTTGCATATAATAATAATAATAATCCTTGCATTTGATATAGTGCTTTTCACATCTTCTAGACATCTCAAAGCGCTTCACAGAATATGCTGTAAAGTGAACTGACTGTATATTTGTGGACGATGGGCAAATGAAGTTTAATACGTATAGGATGTAAAAAATGGGAAACGCAAGTACTCCAAGGATGGGATAGAACTTGCCAAGAGGGAAGCTGAAAGAGATCTATAGTTGCTAGTTGAATTGTTGTTTTCACTATATCAAAACAATGGGAAGCAGCTAAAGCAAGGCAAACAGATGCTGGGCTCCATTGCAAAATCAGGTGATTTAGGTGCCCGGACATCATACTTATAATCATAATAATAATAGTAATAATAATAATAAAAATTAATAATAATCCATGCATTTGATATAGAGCCTTATCACGTCTTCAAGATGTCTCAAAGTGCTTAATTAATAGAATATACTGTAAAGTGACTATATTTTGTCAGCAAAATGGACTGCATAGTGCTCTGGTAAGACTGCAACTGGAGTGCTGCATAGAATTCTGGTCTCAGCAACATAAGGGCCCATAGGCATCTCACAGGAGAGCAATGAGGATGATCTGCAGTGTTCGAGGAATGAACTGTGAGTAATGATTAGACATCCTAGGGCTATTCGGGGTTGAGAGGGAAGACTACTCTGAGCGATCTTGTAGAGGGGAATAACATTTTAAATAGAATGGAAAAAGTAAACCCATATCAATACTTTATGATCCACCA